CATAACACCGTTCAACGCATAAAATACCTCATAATCGTTAACAGGCGTTTCTGATAGATCTTTATCAGCTGAATATGAATCTGCCGTTTTTTTACCAGCACGTGCAGTTTCGAAATAATCAAGTTTTAAAAAGATTGCAAGTGTTCAAATTTTGACGTGTGTTGCGCTTTTACAGTAAGTACAGTTATACAGTTGCTTTTGAAATTAAACAATTCTTTGGACTTTCCCGATCAAAATTATATAAACTGTTATTATATTATAGACATTTAAATATGTTTCAATAATGATCAAGATGAAAGTGACACCGAAAACGCACCAATTTTTACTGGTACTCTTCAATTCATTTCAAAATTTAAGGGTTTAGTAGAAAATCTAACCGCAGCATGCGATAGAGCAGACCTTTCTGCTAAGGAAGACGTCAAGGACAGTTATAAATTCTGTTCAGTTTTCCTTAGAGAAGCGAAATAATTCAGCAAAACACGCGGCGGCGGCAGTGGTACTCAATAACGGCGGTCGCTTTACCTGTCCGCGTTTAGCATTTCCGTTACACTGACAATGAGCGGCAGGCAAGGCGACCGCCGTAATTGCATACTGCTGCCGCCGCCGCCGCGTGTTTTGCTGATTTTTTCGCTTCTCTAACGAAAACAGAACAGAATTTATAAGTTTCCTTGACGTCTTCCTAAGCAGAAAGGTCTGCTCTATCGCGTGCTATGGTTAGATTTTCTACTAAATCCTTAAATTTTGAAATGAATTGAAGAGTACCAGTAAAAATTGCTGCGTTTTCGGTGTCACTTTCATCTTGATCATTATTGAAACATATTTAAATGTCTATAATATAATAACAATTTATATAATTTTGATCGGGAAAGTCCAGAGAATTATTTCATTTCAAAAGCAACTGTATAACTATACTTACTGGAAAAGCGCAACACACGTCAAAATTTGAACACTTGCAATCTTTTTAAAAATTGATTTTTCCAAAAACTAACCGTGCTGGGGAAAAACAGTCTGCTGATTCGTATTCAGTTCATAGAGCTTTACCAGAATCGTTTATTAACAGTTACAACGTATTTTACAGTGTTATTATGGTATAATTATATGTGGTATATAATTATATCATGTAGGTACTATAAGATAATTATACCTTGATAATATAACATGGTTACTAATAACTTTCAAAAAAAGAAATTGAACACTGACCACATTGAAAATTGACCGAAAATTGTTTTATAAAATTTCTGGTTGGACATGCCTTACCTCTTGAGCCTTCCACCGCGGCCGCGCGGGAATATCGTAGTAGAAGATATTTTTTAGCAGCAGGTGGTGTTTCGTACCCCCCCCCCCCTGTTATTCCTCGGGAGAAGTACACGAAAAAAATCAAGATTTCAAAGACTAGAACTTCTTTGCACACACGCGCGAAGACGTTCCCCGCAATCTAATGAGAAGAGGAGCCCTTTATTGCCACACTTCCTGCCACTCACGAGCATGCATTCCTCACGAACAGTTGTTTCGTTCCTTTTACATCAAAAATTGAATAGGTTTACGCACTTTTTTCACGTTTCCAAGAAACACCGTTGTTTACGACACTTCTCAATTAATTCCGTTCGCTCTCTCCGATTTCCTTCATTCAACTCCTTTTTTGTAAAGATTCTTCATTAAGATTTAGGAACTTTTCTGTGTTAACATATCAGTTAACATATTAATGTCACTTTACCTTTAATCAATTTTTATATTTCTTATTAACATAATCCATCCAGAGAGATTTGCGTTTCAATGTCTTGTAACATTATTCTTTGTCCATTTTTAATAATACCTTTTATGTCGGTTGGTTCATGTGCTTAGGGTATATAAATGGTATTATATTAATTAGTTCAGATGATTCCAATACATAAAGAGATCGCATTCGATGTCTTTGGCCTCTTATGTTACTGTTCTTTACGCACCTTTCGCTTTCAGTTGCACTTTTAAAGCCTCATCCATATTCCGATAGAATCAGCTTTCACCTCAAATATTTTTCAGCGCTGTTACTTTTATTTTATAGTTTTATATTTTATTATAATTGTTAACGAAAACTTTTGATTGAAAATGCTTCCTGAATCAAAAAGAATCTCTTGGTCGACAGATTCGAGAAAACTTTCAGGAGCACTTCTTTAAACGTTACTTCACACTCTTGTACGTTCACGTGTGCATTCGAATACACGCGGTTTATTCAGAAAATACTATTCAACGCTGCACATTGCTCGTATAACTGAGAATCGTTTACACTGTTCCAGCACATCGTCGTTTTCCCAATAACACTGAGCAAATCACAGGTTAATTTATGCGTTCTCCTGGTTCACATTTACGGGATTAAGATTTCATATGATCGCAAAAAAAAATCGTCGTGGTCGATGATTTTTGAGAAACCGATGCTCCTCTTGATGCATGCGAGTCAGGAGGAAGTGATCCAAAACTTTTGCCTCTTCGATCACCTGCTACTTCAGATCTATTTCTCTGCCCAAGACGATCGTTTCGACAGAGTTCAGTCAGCTTCAGTCGGCTTTGTCACGTCTGTCGTTTCACTAGACAGAAACCTTGTGGCCGAAGCATTTCACAGCTTTCTACGACGTGTGCAATCCTTTAGGTGCCAACTCGTTCGAGCCACAACGTAGCATTTGGCGTGAAGCCTCAGATGAGACGCCAGGTGGATACCAGGAATGACGGTCACCTCTCTCTTCTCCTTGCCCGACTCGCCCCACCTGCGAGCCACAAGCAAGGTTTATGGAGAACAAGAGGATTCTTGATCCTCTTAAGCCGGTTACGAAGGTCGAGGCGCCCCTGCGGGGTTCGACGATCTTTACCAACTGACTGTTGCCGTCTTCGGGTCCCTGCCTTATCGACTTTTCCGACGATTTTTGGGACTGAGAACCGTGTGCGGTAAATACATGCACAATACATACATAACTCCTCGGCTCGATGAGAAACTACAGTGCGAGCTCGATAGATTCACTACAGATAAATGTATCGTAGGAACGCACCTCGCTCTCACGTATTTCTCACATGCGTGCACGCAGCCCACCCTGTCGCCAAGTACGCCCAGGACAGAATGTTTACGGTGTCGCGAACGTACAGAATGTCCGGTTTCACTGTACACGCTATTATTTTTCTAACTGTTGAAAATACGAAAAAATGTTTCATACAAAAGCTGTTTGTTTTCATGGAATGAACTTAATAGAATATTTGAATGTTTTTCTTAATTGTTGTTTACATAAATTTTAATAACAATGTCATTTTTTTTAAGTGGAACTGCATATTTTTATTATTGCCATGTTATTAAGCGTTTCTACGCTTAGTTAAGCAAATGTAGTTGTTCATCACTTTGTACGATACAAGTTTATTCCTATTATTGATTACATTGTTTTCAATAAAAAAGAATAAATGAAACTGTTGTTCAATCGTACGTTCATTATAATAGATGGTTCGGTAACTTTAATCACTTCAACTATGTCCAGTATTTTTACAGATTTAAAGAAAGTTTATTCACAAAACTTATACGTATGGTCTTAAGGGGACCATAACATAGTGGTAATAATTTTGTTGTAAGTCGAGGATCTACAAAGATTTCGTCAACTTTTCGTTTGGCATTACAGATTTATGTTTTTCATGTGTTGATTCCTCGAGGCATTGTACATAAAAAAATTATTAAAGTACAAGGTCAAAAAATTAACAATTCCTGACATATTTCAAATCTTTTATATAAAGTATCACGAATTATTAACATTTTGCACATAATACTTTCATACTTTAATTGAAAAATATAAAAAATAATTAAAAAAATATTTTCATTCCATAATATTTCAATATAATTAAAGAAAAACATAGTTAATCTTGAAATCTCAGAAGATCCTCCACCTACGAAAAAACTGTTTCAGTTAAAGGCCCCTAAATACGTTTCGGTCGACTGACAGTTTTACTTGAACAGTTCAGCCTGCGCAGGAGCGCAGGTTCCTGGCAATCTTTCAGTTTTCACAGTTCTATCAGCTGAGCAACATGTGAGTATGGCCAGCATGGCAAGCATGGCATCGACAAGGCAGCCGTCCACTTGAGAGTATCTCGCGCGAGTTGCGCTCGAGAGTACTGTCACGACATACAACAAACACACAGACAGTTGACATCCAGTATTCCTGCGAGAACTGTCGTACGAGAAACATAATGTCCGGCAAGAAAAATTGGTGCGAAAACGAAATCAACGATTTAATTACGACATGAGTTAATTTTGTTTTAATTACACTTAGTTCAAAACAAACTGCAGAACAGACGGGCACGAACGTATCAAAAGTTACTACACACTAGAGTCTAGCTAATGGATACGATTCTGATTGTGAGTTCTGTCAGACAGTCAGCTCTCGGCGAGCGTTCCAGCGACTATCTGCGAGTAAAAACCCTCAAAGTTACTTTCAAATGGATACACAACGTGACAGTACTCTAGAGCGCAAGTCGCGCGAGAAACGCTCAAGTGGACGACTGTCTACAAACTATATTTTAGCAGTAGTAGGGTAATTATTAAGTACAAGAGAATGTTACAAGCGTTAAATAAAACGTAATACGTGGTGTAAGGAGTAGTTGAAGAAAAGAAGTTTATTCACATGTAAACTTATTAAATGCATTGCGGTTTGCACGTAAAAATTGGAACAATTATTTAACGATGAACGAAGAAACTTATGTAAACCTTCTATTTTCAGTTACTGCATTAATAAAAAAAAAAGTCGGTTATAAGGGAAGCTATTTCACCGCATGAGAGATTACATACTATATACAGGCTGTCTCGTAACGTGACGACTTCAAATTAGAGCTGTTGATTATAAGATAGTCGAGTACCCGGGTAACCCGTGAGATATCCAGGTAAACAAAAATTACCCGGTTATCTCACGAGTACCTGGATATCTCAGATACCCGGTTCAAATCAATAGCCCTACTTCAAATAACTCAGAAGTTATTTGCTGTACAAAAAAAATGTGTGCGTGTGTCTGTGCTGTGCGTCATCACAGTGTCGAACGTAGTTCCTGAAGTCGGAAACTTTTATGTAGAGTGCGCTCGAATCAGCATGATTTTCGTGGGACACCTGAGACACCATAAGATGGTAGGTCTATTCTTATATCTCGTCTGTGATAATATGTAGGTCTACTGTATACCTCGTCGGTGATTATATACAGGTAAATCACTTAACATAAAATAAATAATTAAATTAGTATATATCACATAATAATAAATGCTTAACAATATATTTTATTATTAGTACTTTACACAATTAGAACAAATTGTTTATGATGATAAGTATTTCCTGCCATACATTTGCGCTTTCTTTTCAAAACCAACAGATTTAATGGGTGTATTTAATTTGTAGAATGGATTCATAGAATACTAAAAGAAACATACAAATTAATATTTAATCTATATTAAATGTCAAATATTTATCCTCTGCATTCAAGTATTATAATAAAAATTAGAGGTAATATATCATTATGCAAAATGCAAGAACAGGCATTATAACAGCCTCAAATCTACTATCTTAAAAGTTTTTCATGTTTTACAAGTTTCATTTGCCTCCTTTCTTCTTCATTGGTATTCAAAATATAATATAGATAATTCATAATAATTAGACTGTAGATTTTATGCATTTATCATAAATCTGGATATGCAAAACATGACAAAGTACAAATTTTTTGAAAGGTGAGTATAAAGTTTACTTTACTTTAAACATAACAAAACCTTTAATAAAAGAAACAAATCTTCAGATATTTTTTTTAAAATCTGAATCAGCATAAAAATCCACAGTCTAACAGTAATAATAATAGTTTAATGGCTTGAAATGCAAAGGATTTGTACTGAGAAAAATTTGAAATACTTTTCTTACTTTTATATATGTGTCATACATTTCATTGAAGAAATTTTTTATACCATCCTCATTTTTGCTATCGTGTACCATAATGAATCTAATGTGAGTTGCTGTAACTAAAGCACTCACAAACCACTGATTGAATTTATCCACAATTTTCAAATGCATATTTGTTGTTTTCCACATGTGCTCGTCTACGAGATCTAATGCAGAGTGTGCAATGAATTGGTTTAAATGTGAGTAGTCATCTTTCTATTACAAAAAAAGGGTAATTAGTATACATACATAAATTACTAAATCAATGTATGAAATGATGTCACATTGTTAAGAAATCAGTAGAATATTTAAAAAAAAAATTGTGTTGTCAACAATTAAATTGTTTCAAAGCTACCCAAATATAACCTATACAAACAACGAACCTTTGCATCCTTTCCAGAATTGTTAAATTCGATTTCAAATAGAGGATTATCGGCATGTCCGACAATTACAAAATAATAAGAAGCTGTCATTGCAAATTCTATGTTTATTTACGTTGTTCCAATGATGTTTTTCTGTACACATTGGCTCCGTTCAGCGGACTCAACCGTTGAGACAACCGTTTGCAACCGTTGCGAATCATTGCGAATCCATCACTAATAATCACTAATAATCACTAACTGCACGAAGAGCATGAACTGCACCAATTGCACGGTGCAGTCTGCACCACGGATTACTATGGACACAGATGAGATATAAGAATAGACCTAACATGCAATGTAATTTTCTGTCCCATGCTTCGAGGGCGTCAGAAGCCCCCTTACCATTTTAGTGTCAATACCCGACGTTACCGACAAAGCATGAATTCTGAGTATTATTAGCACAAATGAAGTGTTATATATTCCATTCATATTGTGTGTATCTATATGATTTGACGGGAATAAAAATATCCCATACTTCAGTTTAAGGTGAAGGGATAAATATGACAGTCATGAAACATGAAACGGAAAAGTATATATTTTTTCACTTAACTACAAAACAATTTATTCTAAATGTATCGTTAATGGACATTTTATTAATGTTACTTTTCACATGTTCTTGTTTTATTCGTTTTTATATCTTGCCTTACATTTGCATATTTGTAACAGATAAATTCAGAATAGATGAAGTTTCATAAATAGTTTATCAAATCTACATGTGGGAGAATATACACCGCTTTTATTAACATTTACATATTTATAATTTATATGGGAGTATGAATAGTTTTACTGTCTATTGTAAGAATCTTAATACGCACGAACGAATTACCTTCTGGCAATTGGTCAATTTTTACAAATGAATTTACTTACACGTTATTTACTTACAAAAATGTTATTTATTGCGAGTAATTAAATAATGAAGCTACGTACAGTAGTTTGATGCTAGGTATTAATCCGTTAATTGCAGACTGCTAAAAATGCAATTGACGAATTAAAAGTTTGTTTTCGATGTTCTCGGTATTGTTCCATCTTTCTATAATATACATTTTGTAGAGAAAAAATGATTGTTTCAGTAAATATTATTACGAACATCGCAAACTAATGGAAACAATGTTTAAAAAGCAGCTAAATTGAAACAATTTGAATTCCATTATGCATCGACGATAAACTACGGCCCAAGTTATAAAAGTACATATTTGGAAAAAGAAACTGTTTTCAACAAACTGTTACATTATATCTATACATATAACATAAACACATAATAACAGCATGCAATTGCCAGCAGCTCGTAGCGCGTGCGACCTTGCGCGACGTTTGACATTATACATTTTTTTCGTCATTCTTCCTGATATCGATCAATTTTTTTGCAAAATTGTATTTTATAGTGGAAGGTTCAATGAAACGTATTTTTCATAACAACGGAACAGTAGGAACAGCTTCCAATCGGCTTTGAAACTTTAACATCAATTATTATTATATCCATTAACAAGAAATAAAATTTTGCCCATACGGTTAGAAAAAATATTCCTTTAGGTTTAAAATAAGGGCAAAATCAAAATTCGATGTGTAAAAATAATCACAATATTACGTTTGCAGTGATGTATCGGCTGATTTCGTTCAATTTTTCAAAACTTTAACATACCTATCTCGGAAACGGTTTAAGATTAGAAACTAAAATTTTACACAATTTAGTTTCCTGTGGTTATCAACAAATGCTGCAAATTCGAAAAAAATCGGTCATTACGATCGCAGTTCTGTGCGTTTCGACGTGGAATGACTCCTTAATACCCGTTTTCAGGATGCTACTAATATATGCAATATACATATATCATAGAATTATTATTAATAAAATAAAAATAAAACTCCAAAATGGTCCATACTGATTTCAACAAGCTTGTGCAGGTTCGGGGTCGGATTTGTCGCAATTTGTGTTCGCGTACAAAAAACTAGTTACTTTTAATATGATATTATGAACACGTATATCTATGTATTGTCCCATAAATTTAAACAAACAATATATTTTTTAATTTACAATGACAAATATATTCAGTATACAGGGTGAAGCACTTGATAGGAAAAAATGCATCAGGCCAAAATTATTTGGTATCGAGGGGCTGATCATCCAATGTTACTAGTTTTTTGATAGGTGGAGGCGTCAAGGAGATATGAAGGTCATCTCTGTTTTTTTAAACGGAACGGTATGTTTTTTTACTTACATTCTGATAGAGTATTTCAAGACGAATACAATGATCTATTGGAAAGCTTATTCGTGGTCTGGGTTAAGCCAATTGTAATAGAAAATAATTTACTTTGAGGAAATATTTCCATGATAAGGGAGGAACAAATTAGCGTAAACTTTAACAATTCCAGAGGCGTTACGGTAAAATAAAACAAACGAACAAAATTTGTGACAAAAGGAAAATTACAGGAAATGACACAAACGGAAACATATTCTTCTGATTTAAGATTATCGTTGTAATTGCATTTTACAAGTATAAATACATAGCCATGTAGAATACAACAGTTTTTTGTAATGCAACTGTTGCACGATGAAGTTCTTTAAAATTCACTGCTTGCTTCTCTTGGTGTTTGGCATTATGGTACGATTTCAACTATTTATTTCCTTCCATTACCCTATATTTATGTTACAATTATATATCTTAATAATTCGTAATTATCAATTACTCTCATATTTAGAAACCTGAAGTTAATATAGAGTAAAAAGAAACTACTGGTTGCATATTATACGTGTATACATATATTATTAATAACAAATATATGCACCTTATCTGTAACGATGGGGACATTGTGTTATCCATTGATCATTATGTCCACAATTATACTGATATACCGATAGTGTGATGGCATACAAAACTTGAATGAATTTGAAAATAATGTACAATACTTGTACACCTTCTAGAATTGTCTTATATACTTTATTTAAATGTAAATCTTTTATTTTCTATTACATATATTGTATATTATTACGTCTGTGCTGTACTATGTTCCATTTTATTGATGTTTACAGAAATCATATTTATCTTCTTTTGTTTATAGAATATGTTCGAGTTTAATAAAATCTATTCTGCCTAAATTAAATATACAACAACCATTTTTAATAATCCTGTCTTTCATTCATTTAACAAGTTTATCGCGGAACCTTTTCGGTTGACTTTCCATTCACGCCGACTGTATTGTTACATTTGAATTTATATTACACAAATGCGGTGATAAATGTGTTACATTACAAGATTGGTTTAATTGATAGGTATCTACGATAGCTATAAATTTAGATCGTTCCATGGCTGGACGACATCACGGTAATGGAGTAGGATGTAGAGGTGGTCGATGGCGGCAAAATAATGGTAACGGGACCAGAAATGGTGACGAGAATACTGGTGGAGCCACTGACACAAATGGTGGCACAGCCGGTGTGTCATAAGTTTTTGTAAAATTAAATATTAATTTTTATATAATCATTATCTAAAAACAACTATCGTTAATTGGGTTACTATTCAAAATGTGATTGAATGTACACATGTATCTACGTCATCTGAAAAAGTAATCGGTTAAAAAAATATCGTTCTTACATTTTAATTTACATTAATGTAAAATCACTGAATTTGAATATTAGAATTATTTATATTACGAGATTTAACAAATGTTAAATATAGTTTCTTAATACATTACACTATTCAACTTAATTAATTCCATTTTAGTTTAATTATATTTCTATTCATTCAACTATATTTACTTAAACAGGTGGACAAAATGGAGAAACTGTACAACCATAATGTTTCGACTATAGTGATGCCAATAAAAAATGAAACATAAGAAATCTATAGAAGTATTTATAATTGTTATGGAGTATAATTATTGTAATTATACCTTTATGTAAAAATAAAGCAACATACACAAATAATTCTGACGACGCTTTATAATTTTGTATACATTATTATTATGAATGTCATACAATGTTTCTAATTGACCTATAATTGCTTTACTAGTTATACAACTAAATAATCATTAATGATACACATTTTAAATCACTACAGCTTTAATTTTTCTATTCTGTAAATATTTTTAGTACAATACTAAAAAATGTACTAAATTTAAAAAATCAGCATAAACAGAGGTATCTATATAAATCTACTGTAAAAAAAACAGACGAACTTCTTCATAAGTTTTACATCATTAAGAAACATTTTTCATGGAAAATCAATAGAATATAATGAGATAAAAGTTCAATGTGATTATAGTTTTCTAAAACATCTATAAAATATATTATATTTAGCAATTTATATGTGCATAATACATATACTCTTAATATTTCTGAGTCTATGATTTGAATAAAAGTTTCTGTCTATACATAGTTTTTGTATAATGTGTATATTATTTCATTTCAGTACATTTAAATTATGTCGAACAATAGTGGCAGTGAAAATTAGAACTCTTAGTCTGCCCACGATCTTCTATACAAATATGTTGCCATATGAAATTGTAACATACATTACATTCATTATAAAATAGTATCAAACACTAACACGGAACTTTACCCAGTAATAATACAATTTGTCTTATTATATATTGTGTAAAAAAAGATTTTATGAAAGAATTTTATTCAAATAATTACATATTCTAATACTTACAGCATCATAAAAACCAGTAGACAATTTTGAGATTTCAATATTCAATGCCACATCCTTTTTATTAACAAAATATATATATATTTAATATTTTTAGATCTAACTAAACAAGATAATATCATGTTTTCATTTCGTTACATAAATGTTTACAATTACAAACTGTACAAAAAGTAACTTTTTAAGCATTTGTTTGACGTCACATCCATTACATGAATTATTTACTTTCTCAGCAGATGAGTAAGATCTTTATTTTGCTTTTGAAGCATTATATCTGCTTTCTCTGTTTTATCTGTTACGTTGTCAATTAAATCATTTTGTAAATCTATCTCTTCTGATAATCCTATTGCCAAGCCTTTCAATCTAGCTAATGAACCACTCATTTCATCTAAATTTTTTTCTAAAATCTTACTCACATTATTACTCACAGAATGATTACTTTCATCTTCATCATACAGGCCACGCAACTTTAGTGCTGGACTTGTATTAGCCATATTAGTTTGAACTTGTTCTAAAGAATTGGACAGAGCAGGAGATGCCATAGATTCAGAACTAGAAGACTCTGATAATTTAGTTGATGGTATGGGTCCATCCATCGATTTACCACTCAGATAATTCTTTAGACTTCCAAATACACTTTTTATTCCTTGTATATGTTTCTGACTAAACCTTAAGGTACTATTAATATCATCTAATCTTTTTTCTGTTCTTTCTAATTGTTCTCTCTGCCTAATAAGTTCCTAAAATAAAAACATTAATCTTTAAATGCATAAAGAATGTATACACAAATACAGTCAATGATACAAAATGTATTTAATAATGAGGTTTATGTACGTAAAATGTTATTTTTAGTACAGATGATGTATAATTTTGTAACGTTTGATACATCTAACTGAAATAATTCTCGTGTAATACCTGCACTGTTATCAATAATTGGTTTCCTTTGTTATTTTCCTCAAATAAAAATAAAAATTTCAATGGTCAAAAACTTATATTATTTCTGGTTTTATAATTTCTTACTTGGATCTTAATTTTACTTAGATTTGAATTTCAAGTTTTTTTTTTTTTTAGAATAAAATAATGTTGTTTAATTTTATTTCTTTTGATATTATTCCTTAAATCAAATGTAATTAAGACATTAAGTGTTCTATTTTGTATTATTAAATAAATCATAAAACAGAAAACACAAATTTGTGCATACTTGTTTAAGTAACTACTTTATTTTTAATATGGCTTACAACGATTTGATAATACATATTTATTCTTATATTGCACAGCTTTTGTTATTATTACATCAATCTAATAATTAAACATTAACATATCACTGTATATATTATTTACAACAAAATTAATTAATAACGTACTAAAGTACTTTTATTGTACATACAGTATAGAGCATAGTTATTGTAATACAACATTCAAAATTTTGTAATAACCTCTATGTAAACATGTGTTTTCATTGATGTGTGAAACAAAGAAAATTAAATTTCAAGTTAGTAACAGTTTCTGAAAGATACAGTCCAATAAAACCTCGTAACTATGGGCTGTCAATCTTCGTATTCAATGAATATTTTACATATTTAGATAATATTTCATAAGAATTACCTCTGCAGTGGCAGCTCCAATTTGCTCAGAATCCCTTAATAACGAAATAGATCTTTCAGACGATTGTATTGTACGCTCTTCTATCTCTTTTTTTCGTTGTAACAGTTGTTGATGTTTGTGGTGGAGCTCGTTGTTAAAATTGTTATACGGACCGTAGGTCGAGTGACCAATAGATCTCGATGGTGCACTTTTTAGAAAGGTTTCATCGTCAATGTCATCTTCGAGAGAGAAAAATGGATTCTTTGGATCACTTAAATAATTCTGACTTGCCATTTTCGCAGTGTATGTGATGCACTTAAGGACTTGTATGCAAAGACTGTTTCAATGTCTCATATAATTACTCGACATTGATAGACACGTAATGTCTCTCCAGGTCTCTCTGACTGTCTCTGACTGACTGATAACGGCTGACAATCATAGATAACTCATAGACATATATAATAGACTGCGCGGTCTTATGGTAGGAGTGAAGTCGGCACTAGAGAGAGAGGACAATAACTGGAGTAGCTTCCCTCTCTTTCTAATGGGGCTGTTGGTGAGGGAATCTCCTACGCCGGACTTCGGGATGAATCGATTATTCAAGTAAATACGAGTAGACTCACGAGCAAACTCGGCTTCCTTTAGGGGAAAAAGCAATGTAGGAGTAAGGGCCTCCTACCACTTGGTATCGGAAATTACTGAACTTTATGTTAAATTAATGCTCGATTTAATATTTATCTTAGTATGTACTTGAAATAAATTTACTAACAATAAGTGGTAGGAGGCTTTTCTCTTACGCCACTTTTTCCCCTAGAGGAAGCCGAGTTTGCTTGCGATGGTACATGTGTATAAGGATAAATTGTTCAGAAAGTTGACCTTGAGAAAATATGTTAAGGTCAAGGTCATCGAAGCTGAGTCCCCTTTTGTAACTAATTACTCTCTTTCACGAGACAACGGTTGAACGAAGGAGTCTACAAACTATCAAGTATCTGGGTATTGGTGAGACATCTCTAATGCAACCATGAAACTTTATTTTTAGTTTTTTTTTAATGAAATTTTTATTGACATATTTTTGGCATTTGTCTGATTAAAACGATACCAAACACGATATAATTTAGAGCATATTTATTTATGTAGAAAAGTGTTAACAATTCATATCCTTTCATTATCGCTTCTAACAAATTACAAACACAAGTTGTTAGACATATTTAAAATAATAGTGGTATAGTAGGTACTTCTAGTATGTTATACATTAGGGTAGTGTGAAGTAGTACAATACATATAAACGTACAATATTTACAATAATAAAACGTATATAAGTATAATACATTTATAACTTACATAAAAATTACATATTTTACAGAAAAATTTATAATAAAATCTTCAATTTCCTATCCTTTGTGGGTCCTGCAATTGTAGAAATGCACTAAATAACAAATAACATACATAAATTATTTTATCAGTAATTAATATTCAGATACACTGTAAATTTACTAATGTATGAGTACTTATCTTGAGTAAGGTGATGATGAATTTTAAATACACTTGTCGCAACTCCCATGTTTCATGAATTCCTGTGTATATTTTCTAAAGTGGTGTCCAGACTGGTTTTCCACGAGGCTATTCCTAACTTTTTATTCATTCCTGTCAATAAAAAAATATTGTCTTAAAACTGCTACCAGCATCTGAATATGAGTCGGCGCTGTTGCACTTATATGCGTTAATGCTTCAAATAAATATCTTAATCTGTTCATATTATTTTCCTCCTGATCTCTTCGATCAAGTATTTCTTCTTGTTGTACATCATATTCTTGATCTTTACTGTCATTACATACTTCTTCTTCAAATTCTTCTTCCTTGATGATAGTTTTACTTTCTGCTTCTTCACATACAGATACAAATTCTGGGACTTGGTTTTCCATAGATTTTTTAGCATATTCGCGTAAGCGTATGTCGTTGCGTTTTTTAAATCTCGAAAGCCAACCCGTGCTCACTTTGAAACCTGAACATGATTCGATATTCTCTTTAAATTCAGCAGCTTTCTCTAAAAGTATAGCATCTGATAGGATATCCCCATGTGCTCTTCTTTCTGCAAACCATGTCAGCAAACGATGATCTAGTTCTGCATATAGTGGCTTTTTAAGTCTTCGGCGTTCTTTCTGTTCCTTACTTTTGACTGCAAATTCACTAATGAATGTAGCATTTGTTTTTATCCGACGAATTGTCATCGGGTGTACACCATACTTTGCAGCAATCGTTGAAAGAGATTGTGTCTTCAAATCTTCCAGAATCTCCAGCCGTTGTTGCATAGACAAAACCACTTTCTTTGTACTCGCCATGTCAGTCACTTTAAACGGAACTGCCGCTAATAACACTACTAATAACTATGACTAATAACAATATAATTATTGCATCATATTAAATTTAAATATAAAATCATTAAATTTAAATGTAAAATCATGTTATTAGTAAAAACTAAATCACTGTTCTATTTAATAAATTCACAGTTAAACTAAAATAACTTTAAATGTGGAGTTCTATGTAGGGAACAAGGAACACGCAGAATGGTACAGAATGGTTTATTCTCTAAGCGTCCAGATCTATGGTCATCTATGGTTCAGATCAGTTCAGATAGGAATGAACAGGAAGAGGAGGACCATGCGCGCCCTTCACACTGTGGAGCGCTTATTGGTACTAATCCTTAGTGATTTAATACCACCGACGAGGTAGCTGGTAGAGGATAGACCTATCATCTTATGGAACTTCGTGTCTCATGTTCTGAAATACCGATCATGTAAAAAGTCAGGGATTTTCTGCTGCCCTATACGTTATGAGAACGGTGAATTTGTGAACTACGTTAAATCTATTCGAGCTCAACTAGTCTAATAATCCCCATAGAGCTGTAGAAGAATCCCCCACCAACAGCCCCATTAGAAAGAGAGGAAAGTTACTCCAGTTAGTGTCCTCTCTCCCTAGTGCCGACTTCATACCTACCATAAGACCGCGTAGTCTACTATATGTGTCTAGGGGTTGTCCAATGGTGTCGAATTGGTTGGAATTGGTGACGTTGAAATACAACTCGAGGTGATGATGATTTTGGTTAGTGGTTAGTGCTTTCTGATGCGTGATTTGAACGATTGATTTGCTGAATAAAAGTATCGTATATTCTAATCGGCAATACTAAAACATAATAATGCACACTCTTTTTACGCGTGGTAATGCTATTTTAGCGTATACATTGAGTGTATCGGCGTGTCTAACGTTTTGTTGTTTTCTCTCGACTGTATTTATTGATTATAGAGCAAATGCAACATTAAATACTGTAAAAGTAGTTGTGTAAGTATAGTGAATTCATTTTTATGGATATTACAAACACAAATTTATGGAAATAATTAGTTTCATATTAAATAGATGCAATATGTTCTGTTTGCTTCCCATATTTCAGTGCTTTATTACTGATTTTTTGAAATTACTATTTTTTCTTATTTATAATATTTAGTTTTTTAACTAAACAGCAAAAGCATTGACTAAAACTTATTGTGCCTCAAGCTAATAATTTGTGGAATAATCATTTATATTTTGTTTTTCAGAAAAAATGTGCCAGATTATAGTGCGTCAAGAGAAAAAAATGACCTAGGATACTTAACATTTGACTTACAAACTGATATCCTTTTTAATTTCATAGCTTATATAAAATTTAATGTTTTGTGACACTGTTTGATTTACCTGTATATCACAGAATATTTTCCAGTTAGTAATATGATTTAAGATAGCCTTAGATTACCATAGACTTTACATCCGTTGCAATTGTAATACAGAGTGAGTCTCGGAACATGGCGATTTCAAATAACTCGTAAGTTATTTGTTGTACGAAAAAAATTTTCAAACAAATGTTGCATGGTTTCCAGAGTGACATACAATGCTATAGTCTGTTTTTTGTTACTTTGCTTCAAATGGAATGCCTAATATTTTTCTTTGAATTCGGATAGAGCACCAAATTCTGCATAAAAAAGTATTACACTAAATAGAGTTTAAAATGAATGATTTGGAAAATAATTTATAAAACAAGTTTTATTTCAAGCAGTTTTCGAAGTGTTGTCCATTACAATCAATGCACTTGCGTAATCGGATTATGAGTGAACGAAGAACTTTTTCTAATGTTTTTGCAGTTATTATGTCACATACACTAATAATATGTTCTCGCATATCTTCCGCCGTCATTCGTGGTTCGCGACAAACTTCATTTTTTAATGTTCTCCAAAGAAAATAATCGAGCAGCATTAAATCTGGCGAGCGAGCTGGTCAAACAATGTTACTGCCATGTCCAATCCAACGATTAGGAAACATCCTATTTAATATTTGCTGCAACTATCGAGTATAATGTGCTGGATAGCTGTCCTGTCCATACCACATTATTTGACATATAAGACACGGTACATTTTCTAATAGGCCTGGTAGTGTTTCAGACAAAAATGTGGAGTATGTTTGACCTGTTGATGATTCTTCAATGAAGTACGGTCCAAACATTCACTCTCCACCGGTGTTGGTGATCAATTTCACGAATTCAATGTGGATTCTCTATTGTCCAATAATGCATATTTTTAATATTAATATCTCCGCAATTAGTCAACATAGTTTCGTGAGTCCTTAAAATAGTCTGTACAAATGTACCATTCGAATCTTCCATCTGGTACAACAACCAATCACAGAATTGTACGCGTTTCTCAAAATCTCGTCCATGTAGCTTCTGATGTACTGACTGGTGATGTGGATGAAAGTTATCTGAATGAAGAATACGCACAAGACTGCTTTGACTAATGCACGAACCACACAAAATCAGCCATGTACTGACATGTGGATTATGGGCAATAGCTGCTAAGGCAGAAGTACGACATCCTTCATCATTTACAATTTACAATATTAGGACAGTTACGTTTCTGTACGTTAAAACTGCCGTGTTCTTGGAGCCTTTTACCAAATCTTACAAAGGTAAAATGTGATGGCTAATTTCGATTAGGATACTTGCTTAGTTTGGTATAATATCTTAGCTCTCATAGCATTTTCATCACACGCACCGTACACGATTATCATATTGTACTTTTCTCTATTACTGAACATCTTACTTTTACGTTTACGTTTTCTAAGCTACTAAACAGGTACTAAACTCAGCTACATCTCATATTGATCATGTCTAACATGTAACAAAGATTATGATATATTTCCCAATAGAAGATTATTAATTTGAGAATATCTCGGTAATTAATTTTAAGCCCTCTTTGGTATAATACTTTTTTACGCAGAATTTCGTGCTTTATCCGAATTCGAGACAAAATATTGGGCATTCAATTAAAAAAATTGTAGGTGATCTTCATATCTCGATAAAAAAACAAAGTAATAAAAAGCAAATTAAAGCACTGTATGTTCCTCTAGAAACTATGCAGCATTTGTTTGAAAATTTGTTTGTACAACAAATAACTCACGAGTTATTTGAAGTCGTCACGTTACGAGACTCACCCTGTATATGACTTACTACGGCATAGTAGCCTTGTGGGCTTTATTTTTATGCATCAACTGGATTCCTTCCTACAAACATCTTGAATTTTTAAATGTTTGTAAAAGCTGAAGTATTGAAAATATATCAAAATGTAATAAAGGTATATTATTGTATTGCTGCTTTCCAATCAAAACATCCTTGCCACTAACATAATGAGAACATATTTTTAAAACAAGGTATTATTGCTGTAAAATAGAAACAGGTCAAATATTGTGTCATCAGGCATTTTTTGCTTTATTTCAACTTTTAATTATCTTATCGCGAGGTGAAATTTTTATTCATAAATTGCTCATGATACAGTTCCAAAAAAATTCATATTTTCGACAACTGTACAACAAATATAAACTATAATTTCTTTACATAGACATACATCTCACTCCTTTGTTCAATTGGAACGTTAAGCAATTATTTTTATACCTCACAGCTGAATATCAAACAGAAAATAATGATTTTAATCAGGTATGGTAAAGATATTGGAATACTTTTAACTTATACTTTAGCTTATATTAACTTACTGATAGAAAACTTATGAAATATAATTTTTAATTTAGGTAATATTATGGGATAAAATAGTGCTTCGTGGGGATAAAGCTGCACTAGATTTTAAAAATATGAACACAAAATATTACTTTTGGGATGATGGTAATGGTTTGAGGTAATTTTTGTTGTTATTGAATAAGTTATATTTCAATAAAAATTAGTAATACTAAAAATAAGTAAATTAATGAATTTCTTTTAATTTTTTTAGAGGAAATAAAAATGTGACGTTAACGTTATCCTGGAACATTATACCAAATGCAGGACTTTTACCAAGTGTTAATGCTCATGGTTCTCACACTTTTGCATTCCCACGTGAATATACCTCATTGCGTGTGTAAGACACACTTATACATGTAATATGTCAAAATTCATTGTTTGATAATTGTTGATTACATAAAGCTAATGTATAATGAATGTAATATTATTTTCATGTGACATTATTAAATATCAGGTCATACATAGGTTGATATACATATGTTCCTGTTACATCTACCTTACAGAAAACTTTTTGTTTAAAATATTGCTATACTTGAAAATTAATATATTATAGAACTGACAAAAAAGTTGTAAAAATACTATTGTACAACTTTTAGTATTGTAACTATAATTATATCTTAAGATACAGAATATATTACTATTTTTATAAAGGCAACAATTTAATATATTTATTTTTCAGTTTACATTTTATGATATTTTTTAATTTTTACTAAATATGATCGTTATTACAATTTTAATTTCGGAGTAACTTATTGTTGTCATTCTCTTCAGTTTCACTTAATGACTCATCTTGTTCCTCTTCTTCTTCTTCTTCCTCTTCATCATCATCATCATCTTCGTTGTCATCGTCATCATCGTCATCATCATCAACAGTATAATTTTCAGAACTATATCCTTGAGATTGATTTCCTACAGTGTAAACATATTATGTACATGCATACTGTGTTATATCAGGTATTAAATGAATATAAAAATGTAATTGGCTCATGTACCATAATAGTTATATTCATTTTCTTCATCAGATTCGTAAGTTCCACTTTGATTTTGTCTACCAAATTTATGATTTCTCGCTAAAACAAAATTAATAACATGAATACGCAATTCATAGAGAATTTGTAATAAGTAACAAATATAAATGTTTTCATAAACAAAGATATTAGTAATAGTTTTGTTATTTACTTGACATGCTAAGATCTTTTGTTTGAGATGTTTCAAAACTACACTTGGGACAAGGTATAGCCTTATTTTTTTCATATTTAAATCCTTTTCGACGAACATGATCTTCACAATAACATGTTTTACACCTCAAACAAGAATATTGTCCTAAACGATTACATGATTGACCTAAAAGAATTAATTTTTTTATATTAAATTAATAAAAATGTATAGAAACATATTAGTATAATTTTCTTAATGTTCTTACATTTGAAATTTTCTGCTTCTAAAACTTGACATGATGCTTGATGTTCAAACTGATCATCTTCGCAAAGGAAACAATTGCAAAATGAGCACCGAAATATTCTACCACCATGATCCCATACGCCTCTTTCACATTCTTGGCAAACTGCATCCATTAAAGGACACATACACGCATGAGTGGTAAGACAGCGTCTTCCATGGCAAACCCATGCCTCACAATGGTCACATATTGCTCCCTAAGAAATTTTTTGTTTATTACATACAATATTATACATATAATGGTGTAACCTTCTAATAGTAATATCTGGTTGTATCTTAACTCAAATTTTCAAGAGCTTCGTATTATTTTGTCAGGTTATAACTAATTTAAACTAGCAGTTGTTGATATTAAGTTCAATAAAAATACACGTGTTTCTTGGAAAAATACATTCCAAAATATATTTTATAAGTGCATGTGGATGCAAACATATTTGAGCATTATTACTTATTGAACCATCAATGATATCTATCTTCCAAAGATTAAATGTTTGTGGTATACATTAAACGAACTTACCACCATACCTAATCCAGTAGTGAATATACCAGGATGACGAACAACACAATCTCCAGTTCTAAGCATACATTTCATTTTTCCACAATGCGCACATAAAGGTAACCGTTGTACACTTTGACAAAAGTAACAAAAAGCTCTACTTTTTTGTTTCTTGTTGCACTTATCACACTCCTTTTTATAAGAGACAAACAATTACTTCAAATATGATGTACAAATTAAAACTTAATATGTTATTTTGTAATCATCTCAAGAACTTTGTAACACAATCATTTATAACTCATAAGTTAATATTATAAATGAAATTATGTTTGATTACTAATGATAAATAATAATTAATTTTTCATTAAACAACAAAACAGATTACAATTATAATCATATATATTAATATAAAACTATACATATACTTACCATCACTGCATTGCAAGGAAATTTAGCTAAATCTATTTGATCCTTGGCAGTTCTAATTTCTTTTTGCCGCAGTTTCTGTTTCTCTGCTTTCCGTCTTTGACCTGTCTTTTTCTTCGGCATATTGTTATGTTTTATTGTAATTTACAAAGAAATATTAATGAATTTATTCCGAACACATATATTCATTTAAAAACACAGGCAGAATCTTTAGTGATCTTTAGCACTTTACATAGCTCAGCTCAACATAGCTGAACCAAGCTGAACGCGCAATGATATACGTGTATACGTATACAGTTCGACTAATCGAATCGAAAAAGCCATTCAATTACGATTGATCGAATAGTAATACGAGACTTTAAATTCATCTCATGACAGATATTTTTTAAAAAATTTCTGTACAATTATTAAATTTGTACAAATGTTTAAATCAAACGTAATAACACTTGTCTGCAACGTTTTGAACATTTTAATTGGTTATGTAATTTTAGATTTTAAGAATCAACTTTATCTTTTATAATTGCTTAACCAATTGTAAAAGATATGGCAACTTTTAACGTACAAGTTAAATTTAAGAAACAACTTGATTCACTTCTTTGTAAGTGCTTAAAAAAGTCTAAATTTCCGCGTATAGTAAGTGGAAGTAATGTATATGTATCTACTACGTGGTTATATACTAGATCTTTGATAAATTAGTTTTATTGATGCCATATTATACAAGCCCACATAACACTGAAGTGCCTAAAAGGTGTCTTTTCGATGCCCAACAACAGATACAAGATGAAAAGATATCTTTTTGGCATCTGAATGGATATCGAAGGTTAGCCCAGGGCAGCCCTTTGGATATCTTGTATTTAGATGTCCAATGATGTGACTGATACTGTATGCCGTATATCAATATTATCGTTTTATGTAGTACTCAGACAATGGCAATAATTATTTTCCTAACAGAAAAACTACAATTGTAATTTGCATTTGTAATATTGCATTTTTTGTTCATTATTCACTGAAGATGAAATAACTTTGAAATAAAAACATGTAAAGCAAAAGTAAAGATTCACCTAAATAGTTAGTAAAATTATATACATATACATATATCTGATTGTATTATTCTATACAATGAAAATTTTAAATGGAGGAATGAAATTATCTTTCTTATGTATGAGATACCTATAAAAGATAAAAGGAAATCGTGAATTCACCCATTGAGTAACAGGACTACATTTTAAATTTTGAATAGTGAATATAGGCGTTAATATGTGACAGGCTATATCTTAATAATTGTTTTACATTTTCTTACACAAACAACGCAGTCGAGAATTTAAAAATTAATATTTATATAACAATTTTCTTACAACGTATAATTTTTCTTACAAAAATATAATTTTTATATACTTTTGTATAAAATAGATACAGAATATGGAATGTATCATACACCAATAAATGTTACATCTAACAGTTATTATTTCACAGTACTGGTATTGACAATGAAATATACATTTCATAAACAATTTTAAATGAATTTTTCTCATATTTAAGATTGAAGTTTTTCTTGTAGTAATTTTTCCAATTTGCGTACGTCTACCGCAAATTTGCGAATACCTTCACTTAACTTATCAGTTGCCATTTGATCTTCATTAAGAAGCCACCTAAATTCTGCTTCGTCTAAACTGATTTTCTGAAGATCAGATTTTTTAGCTGCTTCCGGTGTAAGTATTTTACGAATCGGTTCATTACTTTTTTCTAATTCCTCCAGCAATTTCGGACTTATAGTTAAGAAATCACAGCCGGCCAGTTCTTTAATTTCACCTTCATGTAAAAAATGTATGACATATCTAATATATCCTTAAGTACTGTTTGTAATCATCGTATAAAGACAGATACTTACCAACATTTCTAAACGAAGCACCCATGACAACAGTTTTGTATCCAAACTTTTTGTAATAATTATAAATTTTAGTTACAGATACAACACCTGGATCCTCTTTCGACTCGTACGATTTCTTATCCGTATTTGCAACATACCTACAAATTTATTTTGATGTGTGCATGTTTGAATGTTTCAGAATTGTAAATTATTAATTTTATATTAAAATTAATTCGTATAAAATTAACTGAAGCATTAACTGATTTATTACTTTAACACTATAATTTTTTGCAGTTTCTTACCAATCTAAGATTCTTCCAACAAATGGTGATATAAGGGTTACACCAGCTTCTGCACATGCAACAGCTTGTGCAAAAGAAAACAGAAGCGTTAAATTACAATGGATTCCATATTTTTCTTCCAGTTCTCTATAAGGATTAAAACATTCTATAAATTTCTACTTAAAGTTAATCTTCTGACTTCTATTAATTACAAGCTCTTTACTTACTTTGCTGCCTGAATACCTTCCCAGGTAGATGCAAGTTTAATCAACACTCTATCTTTATTTATACCAGCTTCTTCGTACAAATTAATCAGGTTTTTCGCTTTCTCAATGCTAGCTTCTTTATTGAAAGATAGCCTAGCATCTACTTCTGTAGAAACTCTTCCAGGTATAATACTTAAAATCTCTTTTCCAAATAGAACACATGTGATATCTAAGGCTACTTCGACTTGTTCTGCCAAAGTCCTGAAACAAATAAGTAAATCTACATTTAATCATTCACGTTTGTGGATATAACATTATTGTAATGAATTTTCTATTACCACCATGATAACACTGGACAAATATTTCTCTTTTTGTATACTTTGATTCCTATTCTTCCTTTTGTTTCTTTCTTTGAGAAATTTTAACATTCTTCTCTTCTGAATACTAATCTTTACATTATTTTACAGATTCTGATTTAGATTTACTTTCATTCCTTAATACTTGATGATTTGTATACTTTTTTGATCAGATGTATCTTTTTTGGTTTATAATTCCTACAATATCTTAAAGCAACTTTTAATGCATTATAAATTCTATCTAGTAAATCAATCAACTACTAAATAAAAATTATCTACTTATGTACATCATTACATAATTACAAGCATACAATTACTTTTAAGAAGCCACACTTTTTAGTCATTTCTAGATGAACAATTTATAAATAAAACTTTTTGTTTCAGTATTACATTGAACATTTGATTAAATGAATACAAAAGATTAGACCCTAAAAGAAATATAAATGAAAACTTTTAATAAGATTATGTGGTTTATCCATAGCGAAAAATGAAGTAATTATTTTTACAAATATTAATATATTTTATGTCATTCATAATATTGAAATTGGAGTTTCTAATAATTTAATATTCTAGGATAAGAATTACTTACGATCCAGATTTTTTTCCATATTGTACAGCTTTATCTATTAAATGTGCATATTTCTTTTGATTAGCTGCAGCAAGAATCAAAGAAGGATTTGTAGTTGCATCTATTGGTTTAAATTGTTCCATTGCTGAAAATAATTCATAATTCAAGTTCGTTAAAAAATTATTGTCCATAGACACATAGTTTTCCATTATTTTAGGGATTTACTTATATGTTACACAATACTTAGTATTCATATCTCAAAGGTCACTTAAGGCATTCAAAAGGTCATGGGAATAATACATAATGATTACCTCATTATATACGTACATCATAATAATAGTCAATAATAATTGTATAATATTGATTTTAGGCAGAATAAAAAAAACAAAATTTCTATACAAAGAATACAAACAAGTTGTACATATTTGATTTCATATATATATATATATATATATATATATATATATATGTTAGTACAAATAACAATTCTTAATCATTTTTAAAATAAATAAATAATATTTATAATTGATTTGCGCTTTTTCTAAATATTCTACAAACGAGAACACAATAATTAAAGCATTGCTAAAAAAAATCTGGTCGTAACGTCGATTTTGTAATGATCCCCACCACTATATTCGTAACGTAATCTGAAGTCAAACAGGTAGTTTTCCTTCGGTACAATGTACAATTTTCTACAGTAATTCCCATATATATTTACAGAATATTGTATAATATAATTCTCATATATATTTACAGATTTTCAAATAAATTAACATGTTTTTAAAATTTCAGATCTAAATTAAATGTGCGTCGTATGTATTTTCTTTTCCACGCTTTCTAATAATAGCCTTCACCTTTGCCCGAACTAATATGTAGATTAATTCTGAATTCGTGCAAGTTCTTTTTGTTAATTTTCTTACCTTGAAAGTCGCCAGTATCGGCGACAATCGTTGTCAGTTCTTTCAATTGTGATAAGGAGCTCGTCATTTTGACTTTCTTCAATTGAGACTCGCTCATTATTACCGATACTTTTATATGTTCGCCGGAGATCGCAATTCCTGGAGTGACTAGCAAACACGATACTTTACAGCATTGCCAACTTGTACAAGATTGTAATGGGTGCGTTCAGGAGACACAACCGTTGCGCAACTGTTGAGCAATTTCACTAGACTGCCTCTGAACGCTACCGCTCACTTTCCAACTACTCAATATGTTTAGTGATCGGTCGGTACGGATGTTTTGTAGCGCAAATAAAGTACGCTACCTTTGTTCAACGTGTTGTAATTCAAAATAGCGGAACCCAGTGGATCCAATTTTATTTATTAATATCCATAATTTAATAAATATATTTTTTATTTTATAATGTAATATCCAATAATGTAAATTATGTATTTTATTTTATTTTTTCCATTTTAAAATTATCACTAAATTAAAATATTTATACTTACACTACAAGTGAAATAATAGGTGATATTTAAGCCGTTAAGAATAATAATAATAATTAAGTTGTTATAAATTACTAAAAAATATTTTATTTAATAACTACATATAGTTTTTACATTGTATATTTATGCACTTTTATATTTGAGTTAATATAATTGAATATGAAATAAAAATGTACAGTATTTACACTTTTTCAATTTTCTTATTCATGCATAGCTTTATAGCTGCAAATATTTTGAAAGACAGAATTTAATACTTCTTTAGCTGTGTGAATATTAGAGTTGCTTATTTTTACAATGCTACCGAATTCCCTAATATAATGATCTAATTCCACATCTTTTGATAAATCTTTTGTTGCCATGTATTTATTTGTTAATTGAGATAGTTTTAATAGATCAGAACTAAAAGCTTCATCCAAATCAAATAATTCCAAAGCCGGTGGTGGTAATTCTTGAAAGCTTGGTGGGAAAACCTGGAATTAAATTCACTAAACTACATTTGAACAATTGATGTATTATATGTAATAGAATCAATTTAAATAATAAAATTTTTACTGATGCTTGTGTGGGTAGTAATGGAGCTTCAAAATGTGGTGGAATTAAAGTAAGTGGTTCATGTTTTACACCTAAAACTTCATAAGCCTTTATGCAAGCTGGAACCATGTTTAAATTTATTGAATACAGGTGATGCTTGAATAATTTAGTATAATCATGAGAATAATCCATCATATCCATATCCTGTGTGCATACTTTTGGATTATCTGCTTGCTGTGTTATATCAGGCACAAAATTGTATTCCCAGAACTGAATGATTCATAGCATTATTAATAACAAAGACATGTTACTTCAAAGGCAGACATTCATTAAAATTTTGAAGCTTACATCTGCATCATCCATTTGAGATTCTTTAGGTACAATTTCTTTTGATTCGAAAAAGTTAAATATCATTTCTCTCAATAAATCATTTTTTTCCTTTTCAATGTATGCATCTGTTAGCATTTTTGATGAACCTAAAACTACTAATTTACCACCATTGACTTCATTATAATGGTATGCACAAATAGGTCTGTTTGTTGGAACTGCAATGGATCCACTAGACAATGCAACTGTTGATGGTTGAACTACACTCAAAGTTGCACCATATGGATACAAAAAATTCATGTCTCTGAAATGGGGGAAACTGAATATCAAGAGTTCTTATTCAATTTTTTTTCATAAATAATTAATGATTTATATTTAACTATTTTACATGGATTCATCATGATGTTTAGAAAATATTGACTTATTTGAAATTCCTTGCGAGATTAAACATTCTTTTGGATGCATTGTTTGACTATAACTCATACGTATCACATTATCTAAAAAATATGTACCAACTACAGTTATCCATGTATCTTACTTTTACTTAAATTTAATCACACTATGAAGGATTTTACCATTGTTCACCATTATACCAAATTCCTCCAATAAGAAGTTTACGTTTGTATTAGAGTTTTTTTCTCCACCTTCACCAAGCATAACTAAAATATGTCCAGAAGAATTTAAAAACGTCCTAATGGAATTCATTTCCAATTCAGTGAATTTATTTTGAGGTCCTGGAAGCACCAACACTTTACCTGTTGATAACGTTTCTTCTGTCAAAGTATTGTTATTTCTGAAAGAAAATAAAAATTTATAAATGTGCTTCAAATTCATTTTTAAAAGAATGTTAAAATGCTTTGACATACTCAACAAATTTCCATTTCGATTTTAACTTTCTTTGCAACACTTTGAATACTTCATTCAGTTTTCTTTCACATTTAGAAGCGTCAAAAATAATGACATTCGTGTTATTAGTACTATCACCACCACCGAAAATCGAACTCATAATGACCATCACTATATTATTGAAGATCCAAAAAGTATAATAATTAAATCAATTTCAAAATTGCTCTGCGTAATTGAATCTCATTTATACATACTACACTAATAAAAGTAGCTCAAAGTATATTCTATACTCTATCTATACAATTATGTATACCAGCGTTGCTATTGGCAACAAGTAGGTTTGAATCGATACCGCCAAGCACTTGTGAATCACTCGTGATTCGATCACGTTTGTTCCCAATCACGGTGATTTTTTACAGTGATTTGTGATTTCTCATGATCGTTTCTGATTGGTGGAGAAACCTAACAGTTCTTCACACACGACACATAATCTGTATATTTTATATTAATGACATCAAAACAAAAATTCGAGTTATATCGTATAGAGTGAAGGAATAATTAGAAACAATGAAGAATAATGAATAAATTAATGATTATAAATTATACTCTACATGTTACCTAGCAAATCATTCTTTTAGAATTTCTTGTTTTTTCTACTGATTTTTACAAACACAAATAGTAATGTAATTCATCGTAAAACCATATTGAATACGGTTTTCTGTTTAAAGATCAAGGACTTACGATCGCAGTGAGCAAATTCACTCATGATAAAAAAAATCGCAATCACGGTCGTAAATGAAGTTAAATCACGACCGTGATCGTGATTCGGCGATTACTGTGATAAATCACAGTTAGTAATTTTGCACGCCATCTCTAGTAGAGATCACGCCACAGCCTGCTCTAGTACTAGCCGTGCTGAAGGTAAAAGTCGCAACAACGCGAGAGTCCGTCTTGAATATACCCAACCCAACCTACCATATCAGCCTCACAGGTCTCACGCTTTCACCGGCTACTCAGTCTCCCTCTATCGGCCTCTCAGTTTCCCGCCTATCCTTCAAATGTTTAGATTATTGTAATCCTCCGAATGTCAGAATCAGTACAATAATCCAGGTAACTTTTATTTATTTATATTAACTCTACATATCATTTTTTTGTGTGTAGCATAATTATTTAATAATATCTACAGCCTTTTTGGAAATATTGTTTTATATATACTTTTGTTTATAATTTTCATATGTTTATTAATAATTCCACAGCGTTTACCGCCATTTATCACCATTTTCTTGGTAAGCATGTATGTATTTAATGTTCATATTTATTAAAAAAATAAAAAATTAATAAGTAATGTTTGATAATAATAGTTTTTTTATAAACAAAATAAATACATTTTTTTTATGGAGTTATTGTCAATTACAAGTTCTCATATATCATTCTCGAAAATTAATGGACTTCTTTCAAAGTTTTTCTTCTGGATAACGAAATTGCGGATATTAAACAATCAGAAAATGCTAGTAACGTATGGAACAAATCAGTAATTGTTTCAGTAAAAATTGTAATCAGAATTCAGTATTTGTAATCAGAAAAAAAAAGTTTATTTGCAAATGTTTTGCAGAAATTAGGTTTAGCGGTAAATAACTATTGCCGGACTTGATTTCTGATTGAATTGTTACTTTAATTCTAATTTATTGAATTACGATTAGTTTCAAGGGCGCCATTTTTACACCCAAATTAAGCTTCTGAACTCCTAAATCGGCGTTTTGGACCAGACCACTATGCGTCGCGTGGAAAATGTGAATTTTCGACCCACTGTCGAACATTTCGAACAGGGTCTCCAAAGTCTCCTCATTGTTTACGTTACCGCCGGGTGACGTAGAGTGTAGGTTAGCGGTTAGAGGATTGTCGGCGGAAATACCCGACTCGACCTCGAACGGGTAGCACACACGGACAAGGGTAGAGGTAAGTTGTGTGTCGGCATGGCGGAAGTAAAGTGGGAGACGACGGTAGGCATAGTGGGGGTACCAAGTACCCAAGACCTAAGACCCCAAGTCCCAAGTACCACGATTCTGGCCAATTCTGGCAATATTCTGTCCATTGTGGGTGATTCTGGCATCCAAGAAAGGATGAACAGTGTTTTGAGATGAATAATTCATCTACTTTAATATGTTTGATGCTTATTTCTTAAAATTAACTTTATTACTATTACATCTTCTTTGATTCTTGTATAATATAAAATGAAGAATTTGTATGTAAAAGTAGTAAAATCTGTAGAAAAAAATAATCTCTAAAATTTTATTTTAGAGTAAATTAAAGCTTTAATTTATCATTTTTTTTGACAAATCGTTTGAAACAATTTAAGGATTGTAGTTAAAATTATCATGATCGCTCTGTATATTTAAAAATGATCAGCGATCACAATTGGCGAGTGGGTTAGGTTAGATCTGCCAATCGCTTACAGCTCAGTTCAGTATGAGTTTGCCTATAAAGATATTGTTTGCAATAACAATTTGCTAATACCTAGTGGTGTGGAAAAAATCTTTGCATCTCTTTGGCAGATTTGTTGGTGCGATGTGTATTATGCAAGCTTTTGTTTGTTACGTACATAGTGAATAATAATTTAAAGTGATATTCGATTGTAAAACGACCTTTGTGAAGGCTCAGTGTGCATGCGCTACGTGCACTCAATCGAGAAAGTGGTATTGCTTTATCTGAGGCATATGACGGATGTAACAAGTTTTAATTTTAACTTAGATAAAATTTGGCAGCAAGAATTAGCCAGATGAAGGTAATTCGTACAAGTTATCAAACTTTTTGTGTTTCAAATATCAGGAATATTGAATGATTGCAGAGGTTAAAATTCGTCTGTTTCAGGAAGACCCTAATTGCTTCCATGGTGCTTTGTTTATTATTATTATTAGTAATGCTGATATTAAATTCCATTTTTTTTACATTTTAAGCGATCGTTATTAACTTTCCCATTACGTTTTATCGAAGTCTGTTTTTAATGTAGTTTACAACCTTCGATTATGCAAAAAAATATTCAGATGGGCGGTGTTCCAATTTATAAAATAGAAAAGATTAAGACAAGACACCTGTGAACTGTCAACAAGTTTATTTTTTAAGATGAAGTTATTTGTGAAATTATTCCTATCATTTCATTTCACATGAAAATACATTTTAAGTAGTTATAAAAAAATCAATTAATTTATATTCATTTAATTTATATTTGGAAACAAAATTAATTTTTGATGAAACAAAGCATATGATTTTTTAATAGAAATTTAACATTTGATATAGTTACTTGAATTTGAACATACAATAAAATATTTTGAACATAATGATTTAATAAATCTGTGGATATATTTCAATATGATCTTGAAGTGACCTTAAACTCAAAAATTTAAATAAAAGAAATGACTCATTAAATGACCTTTTTCAGCAAATGTTCAATATGAAATCATTCATCAGAAATTCATTGTTTGAAAGCAAAATATTTTTGTATTTTGTTTGTTGATATCACAGCTCTTTGTTTATAATACCTATTGGATTTGCAAGAAATATGCATACATGCAGAGAATCTTGTATAAACTACACAATTATTAACATATATAAACAATAACCACTCAGCTATCTTATATCGAATTGAAAAAGCTCTGTAATTCAATATAACAAATATCAAAACTTGTGTAAGGTGGTTGAAATAGGATTCAATTTGTTTTTTATTTAAATATAATATTTCAAAGCTTCTTTCAGCTTTTGAAAATATATGTCACTTAAATGTCACATTATAAAAAAGTTATTTAAGGAATATGTTGACTTTGAAAATTATGAAAATAATGCTTTGTAACAAAAAATTATATGTTATGTACCACTAACAGTTTCTTTTGTATCATAGTCTATATTTAAACAAATTGATTCAGTGTATTTTATTCTTGAAAGTAAGGTTCATGGACACAATTAATTATGTTATTACTAGGGTTGATGATATATAATAGTACATTTAAAATATGTTAATTTATATTCAGTCACTTTGTATATGCAGAGTAAATTTCACTACATTTTGTAAAACATATTTATTGTCTTGATCAACTTGTATAGTATTGGACATATATTATTAAATGCATTTTATCACCAATGTCACATGTTATTATTTTATAGTGTTATCATAAGTGAATACCTTGCATGCATAGTCTATGTGCACATTTCTGATTTAACAATATATCTCAGTGGCTGATATGGGGGTATTTTACAAGTTGCAACTAAAATGTAATATTTTATTATTTAAGAGATGCACAATTATATGACATAAACTACAAGTGTAAATTGTATGAAATATATTAGTATTTATCGCTTGAATTAAAATTACTGCTCTCAATTTATCCACCACAGGTAGATTTACTGTTTGTAACTTGTCTGATTACAGTGTGTTGACATATTGTAACAGATCACATTTAATAATGCCTGTACAATTGTATGATAAATTTATATAATTATATATACTTTGTGAATTCTTATCATATATAATTATTTATAGTAACTGATACATTTTAGATAATGTCAGATGATGATACTGCATTGGACTCAATGGATACAGACGAAGAAATTTTTAGTGCTAGAAGTCGCAGCCTTGGCTCTAAACCTAGGAGGGTCAATAGTTTACGTACTTTACGATCACATTCAAACTCGAATTCTCATAAATCTAGGAGTAATTTAAGTGTACGTCGCAGTACACGTAATAGAATGCAAACGTATGATAATCTTAACACTAGCTGGATTTTAGGTAAAGAATGTCTTTAAACACATCCCTGACAAACAAAGTCATTGTCTATAAATACCTATAATATGTTTCAGGAACGCAAACGTTAAAAGGTTATCCTATGTTTCAACAACATGGTTCTTCATCTGATAAAGAGATGGTGGACGAAGTTCCCGAAAGAAAGCGTGATCTCAAGGAACGTATGCCCCTTCGATCACGTGAGAATCATCCTCCTAATAAGAATTCACCAAGGCATATTAGAGAAAGGCCAGAACACGATCGACAAAATAGTAGGGAACGTAGAAGCAGGGGTGATCGTGATCTTAGAGAAAAGACAGAACAGGAAAAAGATATTAGAGACTTGAAAGACAGACAAGAACGAGAAAGAACGGAGAGAGAACATAAGGACAAAATGGGTACCAGAAGTAAATCGAATGAGGAAAAAGATGTGAGGTAAATATCTATTAACATATTTCATACATTCGAACAATAATTCCATTTATGTATTAATAAATTCCGTTATAGAACAAGAAAATCTGATAGTCCAAGTAGACTTAGAGAAGGACCTGTGACACGACTTGGTGGTAATTTAGTTGAAAAAGATGAAAAGCCTAAAGTAGAGCAAGACGAAGCAGACGAAGACAGCTCTCAAGAAAGTGAAAAAGCAGAAAATAATGATAATTCTGAAAATGAAGATGTAAGAAATTTTGTATAATTTTATAAGTATTTATTACTTTTTATAGACATATTTTTTATTATAAATAAAGGTATTAGTTGTAAATAGAATTCTGAATATGATATTGCTTTTAAAGTAGTGATAAAATATGCTTAATACTTATAGGGATACGAAGATATGTACACACGTGTTAAACGAACTAGGAGGGCAGCACAGCAACAATTGCCAAGGGGTAAGAAGCTTACAGGTTCGATGCTCACATTTATACATGCATGCGATTACACTCTTTGTTAAGTATTAATATGTTTCTCTTATTTATGATTTGTTATTTTACAGTGGTAGATAGTGATTTAAGTGAATCTTCTGATTCTCCTGGTCCTAGAAAATATAGTTTACGTCAAAAAAAACCAGCTGTAGATAGATTTCAAGCCAATGTAGAACCAGTTCGACGATCTATAAAAGTATTTAGAAGTGTTCTTAGTAATTCCATGAGAAGACGTAAACATAGAAGTAAAAGTACAAGCTCTAGTGATTCCAGTGATTCAGAACCTCAGCGGTATGATAAGAAAAAAAACAAGAAGTCAAGGTAAGACATGATATAAGTGTAGATTTTTAATAAATTTCTGGAGTATAATGTGCAGTGGAATGAATCAATATTATTGTACAACAAATTTTTTATTTTGTTAATTTTATAATAGGCAATCGGTAATACCTCAAGGTGGACCACCTGATCGCAAAGCAGATATAAACCCAATCACTTTAGATACCAACATTAGATTCAACGATGTTGGAGGTTTAGAGTCACACATTCACTGCCTTAAAGAAATGGTTGTTTTCCCTATGATGTATCCAGACGTATTTGAACGTTACTACATTACTCCACCAAAAGGAGTACTGTTTCATGGTCCACCAGGTAAATATATAGTACTTTTCAGTATGAAAAAAAAAATATATATATATATACATAGTACTAATGCTACTTATCAAATACTTAGGAACTGGTAAGACATTAATAGCTAGAGCACTGGCAAATGAGTGTAGTCAAGGCAGTAGAAAAATGGCATTCTTTATGAGGAAAGGTGCGGATTGTCTATCCAAATGGGTTGGAGAATCAGAACGCCAGTTACGATTATTGTTTGAGCAGGCTCAACAAATGAAACCGTCCATAATATTTTTTGATGAAATAGATGGCCTCGCACCTGTTAGAAGTACGAAACAGGATCAGATTCATGCCAGTATCGTGTCTACTCTTCTGGCGCTCATGGATGGCCTCAGTGATAGAGGAGAGGTAAAATATTTTTAATTTTAATGTCCAAAATACAGAATTGAAGATTATTCTATACTCTTTTGCTTGCAGGTTATTGTTATTGGAGCAACCAATAGAATAGATGCTATTGATCCAGCTTTACGGAGACCTGGTCGTTTTGATCGAGAATTATACTTCCCCTTGCCTGCTATGAAAGAAAGACTAGAAATATTAAAAATCCATGTCAGTAAATGGAAAAATCCTCCATCAGATCAACTGTTAGAAATATTAGCTGAAAAGGCAACGGGTTACTGTGGTTCAGATTTGAGAGCTTTGTGTACTGAAGCAGTGTTACAAGGATTGAGAAGAACATATCCCCAAATATATATAACAAATAATCGGTTGCTTCTGGATCCTGAACGTGTTGAAGTGTGTTTTTATTAATCAACCCTTAAACAAACTGTAAATTAATATATAATACCAGATCATATATGTATATTTTCATAGGTAAAAAAACGAGATTTCTTACAAGCAAGTTCTATGCTTGTACCGTCATCGCAAAGAGTATCACCTTGTGCTCGAAGAAAGGTACAACCTTTTATGGAACCACTATTAGGACCTCCACTGGAAGAGTTAACTAGTTCCATAAGAGGAGTATTTCCTCAAGGAACTAGTGCTGCTATGGCAAAGTAATCAAATTTCATCACGTTAATGATGTAATTTTTTATAGAATTTAATATAACTCTGCTAAATCTTTCCTCAGAGTAAAAATTACCAAAGGTATACATCGTCCAAGACTGTTAATTTCTGGAGGAAATCTGTCTGAAGGTCAAGGACCACATTTAGCACAAGCATTACTATATTATATGGAACATCTACCTGTTCAAACATTAGACGTTAGCACTCTTTTCGCAGAAAGTGGACGATCTCCAGAAGAAACTTGTGTTCAGGTTTGTTATTAATAATTTGCAGAAATAAATAGATATTTACTGAATGAAGTATTAACTAAAATATGTTTGGGTTTATTTTCCTGTCTAGGTATTTAACGAAGCTGCCAGGAATGTACCGTCCATAATTTATATTCGGTCGATTGATCAATGGTGGCCACTTGTACCTGAAACTGTGAAAGCGGTTTTTTTGTGTCGTATAGCAGCACTTGATCCCTCATTACCTATTCTAATTCTAGCTACAAGTGATACAACGTATCAAGATCTCTCTAACCAACTACGAAGTCTCTTTAGCGAGCTTCGAGGAGAAGTCTATTCGATGAAAACGCCAACAGCAGAGCAAAGATCGAAATTCTTCAGACCTATTTTCATGCTTCAGAGCTTAAAACCGCCAAAAATAAAGGACAATAAAGTTGAGGTTTTAGAAGAACTACCTTTAGCACCAGATCCTATGCCAAAGAAATTAACAGAAGAAGAGAAAAAAGTAATGTACGAAAAGGAAGAAGTTTCATTAAGAGAATTAAGAATCTTTTTGAGGGAGATTTGTGCAAAGCTTGCGAGGAATAGGCAGTAACTATATTTATATCTTATTTGCAACTGCCTTTAATGTTTTATGAAGTGTAATTAATATGATTGTTTTGTGTCACAGATTTTTTATGTTCACAAAACCAGTGGACACAGAAGAAGTACCAGATTATAACATAATTATAAAACAGCCTATGGATTTAGAAACAATGATGACAAAGATCGATATGCACTGTTATCTTTGTGCTAGAGATTTTCTCGATGATATTGATCTGATTTGTAAAAACGCATTGGAGTATAATCCTGATAGGTTTGTACATGGAATATATGCCCGTTATGTTATTAAAACCGTTATTTAAATTTATTTAAATGTAATCAAACGCAGGTTATTTAGTGACATTCCATTAATTTTATTTGTTTCATAAATTACTATATTGATAAATAGTTTTCTTGTGGGTTTAAAAACAAAATAGCATTCATTAGTTTTGTACTTCATATACTATTATTTATATTTATTAATGTTGGTATTTAGTTCATCTTTATTGATCACTCAGATAACATACATAAATATAAATAATGGAGTTCAAGTTCATACTGACATTCATATTGTGTGTTTTCTTATCAGCTTACGTGATAGGCCTTCGCTTGGAATATTGAAGAGGTAGTTCAGACATTCCTGTTAATCCGTTGCTGTTGTTGCTCCCTAGTTTAAGTGGCCTTCAATGTCTTATGCGCTGGATATGATACGTCAGATGTGAATTGAATACATAAAAATAATGTATAAAGTTCACGTAAATATGTATTTTATTGAAGTTGTTTCCGAGTGACAGATGCTCTCATATTCCAATGGTTTTCATAACCGAGAACTATAACAGTTGTTAAAAGAGTTAAAATAACACTTGGATTTTATAACCTGTTATAAACTCAATGGAAAGAAATATTTAGAAATTTGTATTGAAGCTTAAGTTATTGTTAATAGTTCCTTTGAATATGCAATTCTATGAAAACACTATGCAAATCGGATTTTCACAAGAATTGCTGACATACAAAAATGCTGATAATTTCGAAATAGGGTCTGGGTTAGGTCCGTATTCATATAAAATTTATCTTATTATTTTTTGGATCCCTATACACGTTTACAGTTACATCCAAATGTTCCAATACACTTTATATGTGTAATTAATATTTTGTACGCTGCTCTCACTATACATCGAAAGACTTCTCCTATTATTCAATCAATGAGTTTAGGGTATATTCAGTATTTCTGTTTCTTATTTAATACGAAATATGTACATGAAAATTTGAGGAGGTAGGATAACATATGCAGCACCTAAAATTTCATCGACGTACAATGTGTTGATCAACATTGAAGGCCACTAATGCTAGTCCATACGGCTTCTCACTAGTAATAAATTTGTTTATTATTTGTATATATATTTAATTTATTCTTTTTTCACAGAGATCCAGCTGACAAATTGATAAGACACCGTGCATGTTCTCTTCGTGACAATGCATACGCGTTAATAAAGGCAGAATTAGATTCCGATTTTGAAGACAAGTGCCGTGAGATTTCGAAAAATCGAAAAATTATTGAATATACGGGTCACAGAAAACATGATACAGAAAACAAACAGCAATCAAAATCAGAGCAATTCGTTTCTGCAATCGAACGAACAGATAAAAAAGATGGTGGAAGTCCTAGTCATTCTCCTGTTGTGAATGGGAAGAGATACAGTAGTTCTAGAAAACGTAAAATACCGGCCTGGGCAAGAGGCTACGTAAAAAAGGTTCAGAAAAAGAAAAAAATTGTTTTCGATGAAAATGTTACTGTTTCTGGTAACAAGATCTGTGTGACCAATGAAACTACTAGCATCGATTTAGAAAAATTCCAAGAATTTGAAACTGAAGCAAACAGTGTTTTGAATGGACATATACCTTTATTTGATAACTCTGATACGGAGAATGATTCACAAAATGAAAATTCGAAAGATGTACAAGGGATGCAAAGCAGCAGTGTAACTGAACAACATATCGAGGAAGTTGATAGTATGGATATAACTCTTGTAGATGAGGACAAAAATGATAAAACTGTGGACAACGATGGATCTAATTCCTCATCTAGGCGAGAAAGCATGGACGAATTATCATTTGCTATCGAGCGAGATTCTAGTCCAGCCAAATTCGAGGAAAATGAGAAACTGATTGTAGATAAATATGAATTGGAATGTTCGTGGCAACATACAGTTGATGTTACAAAAGATTTTCCTGTGGAAGTATTGTGTGACATTTATGTGCAACTGAGTCGATGTGTAGGAAAATATGCTCAGAGCTATGATAGAAAATTACTGCCAAAGGTAAATATGCTCTATTTAGTTAAACTTAGTATATCAATGTACTTATTTATGTATGTGTTAATGTTGTTTCTTAATCTACCCTTTTTTTTTATCATTTATACATTTACTGTTAAATCAACTGTTTAGTCAACATATTAGGATTACATTTTTTATTATAGTAAATCTAATTTTTCCATGGTTTTCATAAAAAGTAATCTTTTATTTTTCAATTATTTTTCAAGATAAGAAAGTTATTGTCCCAATAAATATGATTGATTACCGCACGAATATACAGGGTGTCCCACTTAAATGCCGCCACGAAATGTCGAGATCGTCCTTGAACTTTACAAAAAATTGTGTTAGACGAAAGTTGAAGTTGATTTATACATATAAGTATGTATAACTTTTGTAAATCAGAGATTCTTTGTTTTTTAAATGAAACTATATACAGTTCTATTACGAAATATATTTATCTCTCTATCCATACGTTAAAGGTTTTGGATACAACTATATATACATATTGCTTCTCTGTGTCTGATACCTTACATCTTTAATCTTAAATTTACTACTTAAATCTTAAACTTAAATTATGGTAGCGAATTTACTTTGGTTTTTAATTGAAATAAAATATTTTTTATTAGAACGAATAATGAAAAATCCAACGGCTATAAATATGTTACCAAAAAGACATGAATATGATTCTATATGATTGGATTTGATATGTATATGTATATTGTATACATACATACATACACATATGTATACGTATGTACCTTTGAGCATCCAATTGCTTCTGTCGACTTTTTTTTATGTTTTCTGTAACATATTTATAATCGTTGGATTTGTTATGATTCATTCTAATGAAAAATATTTTAAAAATGCTATAGTTTCATTCAAAAAATAAGAGGCCACATTCATTTCTCTGAAAAAATGCAGATAAAGAGCACTGACTTACAAAAGTTAGGTACATTTAAATATCGTTTAATTATTGTTTAACACAATTTTTTGTAAAGTTTAAGAAAAGTCTTGAAATTACGTGGCGACACATGCGTGGAACACGCTGTGTACTTCTTCTACATGCAGTGAATACATTTTCCTTCTTTTCGTATCTTACATACTTTGTATCATGATACACTTCGATATAAGCATTAATAATTTAACATCACAGAAATGTTGCTTGTACTGCTTAAGAACTATTTATATGATCATGTAGCTTTGATTTAGGTCATCTTACAATCATTGCATTGAAAATAAAAAATTTGTACTCAGTTTTTTATTACTGGATGGAAATCGTAGGTATGTTACGTCAGAAACTGGTAAATTATTCCATTCTTTGCTAGTTTTCCAGTAAACTCATTTTTTTGCGGTTTTGAATTTATGTCACTTGACTTATTATCTTATAAGTCTTTTTTTCAGTTCCTTTCTTGTCTGTTTCATAAATATTTCTTTCTTACCTTTCATTCAATTTATGTTACAATATAGAGAGTGTCACATAATGTGGCAATGTGACAGTTGTCATAATATGATAAAATAAAGTATTTTATAATTTATAATGTGTATAGGACTTGCTCAAGGAGGTGAAACGATTTGAAGAATTCAAGACAACATATGACAGAGTACATCATGTCGCCAATCAAACGCAAACGGACATGCTATAAGTCATGTTGCTACTTTTAGTACCATTATAACAAAACTTTTTTGTACATTTACACTGAACGAAGAATACCGATTATTCTTGTCAAATCACAAGATAACTTGAAATACGATATTTTTTTGTTTTGATTTCAATAGTTGCTAATAACTAGTAGAAAGAAGGAGGGAGTTCTCATTACTACATAAATATGTATAAATAAAAAGAAGCAACGTTATCGTATATTTAAACTTCGATATTTGAAGGCACGATAAAATGTATCAGTGCATCGAATTTACAAAAAACAAAAAGTATTATACTTATGCCAAGCTAAAAAACCATTTGCCTAAGCTTCTAAATACAAAATTATAAATTATTATAATATCATTGGCTTTCTCTATTTATAATTCATTGTTGATATCAGACGTCCTTTGTTGTAAGATGTTGATATCAAATGAATGAATTTTAATCATAGTTTGTATATTTTTATTCAATTGCAATTTTTGTAGAAATTGGCATAACTTGCAATGGAATTAGTTTTTCTGTAATATATAACTGTGAACAATTTATTTTGTGCGCAAATCTGCTTTAGTAGGGTACTTGTAAAAGATTTCTGGATTAATATGGAATACTACACCATAAGGAGGTATACTATTTCATAACAAGATAATATTGCAAACATTGGTTATACAAAGATGATGGTAATTTAATATAATATGTACTTAACTATAGTTTTTATGCATTACAGTATATTGTATTAAATTATTTTGTTGTATGGTCATACGATAGCATTCGACGAATCGTTATGGTATCACATGAAATGTAGTCAAGTTTCATCACATGCACCAGTTATTACTTTTGGATTTTTACAATTCTTTAGGTGACGATATTTAGGACAGATACATTGAACATTGACATATCCTGATGCATAGGTTCAAATACACATATATAAAATTACACGTGGTCCGTTTTGCAAAGTTTTTATTGTTTTAGAAAATCTTACACAAAGTAATACACATTATGAGAACTATAACTACTGCATAATAATTTTACATAAATTTGTTAAGTCTTGTTTTTTTAGTACTGCAAAGATTACTTCTGTCTTCTTAGTAACAATAATATCACTTTATGTATTAGCAAATTGATGAAAACGAAATCATTGATTATAAAAAAAATATGTAAATACATTCCAAATCTTATAAGCAGTGTTGTACATTGCATATTAGGAAATTTGGCCTTGTACATAATTTACCTGTAGAAATAATTTATTCTAGGTTTCATTCTTAAGAATCATTTGTTCATCAGACTCTCAAGTTGTACTGTTTATGTAAGGTCTGTAAATGAATTGGCAGATACTAAAACTTTTTATAATTAAAAATCATGAATAATTTAGTGTAATAGGTTTATATAGTGTATCTACAACTTATAATAACATCTACTGTAGTGATTCTGTGTCAATGTATACAAAACTGATTTAAATATTATATAAAAATTATTATTTTTATATACATTGATAAAATGAAAAGTATGATGTTATTACTAATTTCTATTGGTTGTTTATTTTAGTACATTTAGTTGATTCTAGATAGGGAAAGTAAGTAAACGAAACTTAAGTGATAAATTGAGTTTACTCATGGTAGATAAGACATAATTGAAATATTATACATGCTTTCCAATTTATTTTGACCAAAGTTATAAGCCATAAACAAAATAGTTACAAATAAGTTTCCATTCTACTCTCGATAGAAAACTACTTAGACAGAATTGAAAACTTTACTATAAATGTAAAATACCTCGGTAAAAATCTTAAACATGTGCAAAGGAAACTCTATCTGTATAAATATTAGTAAATATTTAATGTAAAACTGACATTTTAGATTTGTATACTGGTTGTGATTCATACTGTAACTGTGAAAGGGTAGTTACCAGATAATGTATGTGTGACAGAAGAGTTGTTACGAGTTCTGGATTGCAAGCAATGCGGTTCTTCCTATCATGATTGATCATATACATACATAGTATTCATTTTTGCATAAATTGTATATGTAATAAAATGTTTTCAGTTTAATTATTTAGGTAGGTACGCAAATACATAGTATAGATAGATGCGAGTATTGTATTCGTGTTGGTTGTAAGGATTTAGTAATTATTTTTACAGTCAAACACGTCTTGAACGATAGTATGAAATTTGTAAAAGAATACTATGTGATTAATAAGAAATACCTGTCTTAGGAATATGATATAACATTGATAGTATAAAATTATAATAGGATATCGTCAAAAAGTTATTTCGACTAGTTTCGCACCTTATTATTTTCACATTAATCAGAACTTTCAAACGTGCGAATCAAGTTGATTAAATATTTAACTTATGGCTAAATAATATTTCATAACTACTTAAAATTCATTAGAAAATAGAAACGAAGAAGACTGAACATCAGAAATGCTCACTATGTAGTATTTATTTCTCTGTATGTTACATGCTGTGTTTAGATTGAATTACGAGAGTTATTTCGTTATCGTATCACATGATTTTTAAATATGTAAATATCAAAATTTAAGGTACAACAATTTTATATTTGTAATTTGATGAACATGTTAGGCACTTTTCTCTTATAATACCTATGCGTATGTTCGATTTCTTACAGTGATATACTAGAATTATAGTTGATTTAAAGATTATCGAAATAAAATTATCGTAAATATATCGCACAGGATTACGTAAATAGTTTCTTTTAATTATAAATTAGTTATGGTAGTCTTAAAGAATTAGCAATATTATGCATAATCGCGTATTATATTGGAAATAACTTCCACGTTTAACTGTATGTATATCGTTTAACAATGTATGCATATATATTTGTTTAACATTGAAACATACAGAACTCCCGAATGATAATATCTAAAAAACTCTCGAATAAAAGTAAAATGTATGAATTACTATGTTTGTTAAAATTATTTGTAAATTAAGTAAAAATGGTTTTGTAAAAGATAAAATGCAAAGTGAGAAATGCTGATTCGTATTTTTATTTTTAATATTACAAATTCAATAAAATTGTCTACTGAATATTACACTCGGTCAGCCAAACGTGCAAAGCCAAATTTTGTCCAATGTCTGTTATAAAGTTATAGCTACAAGTTTAATGCAATATTTTTTTATAAACAACTTGCGTGCACATTGGCAGCAAGATATGCAGCAAATTGGGTTGCGCAAACCTTGTTCTGCTTTTGCCCTCAATTTGACATAGGTCATGTTGCAAGACTCGCTACCAATTTGCTTTACCATTTTGTCAGCTGACGTTGCCTGCAAAACCCAAGCCACATGCGGAAACAGATGGCTATGGTTGTTAGATAAGTTTGGTCATTTATTGCTGACAATTTGCTCGAAACTTGTACACAACTGGTTATCAGGGACATTTTTACTGACCCAGGAACTCTTATTAGTGCATAGGTAGAAAATTAATCCAAAAAGAAAAGATAATAGAAATATTGTTACCATAATTTCCGTCATAACCAGTTGTGTACAAATTTCGAGCAAATTGCCAGCAGTAAATGATAAAAGTTGTCTAAAAAACTATAGCCATCAGTTTCTGCATTTGACTTGGATTTTGCAGGCAACGTCAGCTGACAAAATGGTACAGCAAATTGGCAAAAAGTCTTGCAACATGACCTATGTCAAATTGAGGGAAAACCCGGAACAAGGTTCGCGCAAGCCTATTTGCTGCATATGTTGCTGCCAATGTGCGTGCAAGTTGTTTATAACAAATATTGCATCGAATTTGTAGCTATAACTTTATAACAGACATTGGACAAAATTTGGCTTTGTACGTTTGGTTGACTGGGTTAATATAATTTACTTGGTATAGCGACGTTGCGATAGAAAATGTATCATGCAAGGAAATTCGAAGTTTGAAAGCAGGCTGTAATATTCCTTCTAGTTTCTAAAGCATTAGCCAAAATTTCAGCAGTACAAGAAATTGTATTGAACTTGTGTACTCATGTTATGACGTTGACTTGTATTTACAAGTGTTTAAAAAACTTTACTTAATCTAAAAACACGCTGTCAATAAACTAGAAGCTACTGGTCATTTAGTTCAAGCATACTTTTTAAATGGCTATTACTGACATTTTCCAAAGAAATTATGTGACTCATTTCAGTAATAGAAATTCAAATATTAACCTTGACAAATAATAAATGATACAGGAAAAATCACCCATGCAATTAATATATATATATATGTGTATTAATTGAATTATTGTGACTTTCCTGTTTTCATTGATATATTTTACATTCCAGTTTACAATGAATATTCAAATCATGTAATTACTCCAAGAATAATTTCTGGTGTTATTTTCTGAAGTGCCATCATCTCTGTAATACTAAAGACATTGCAACTACATGGTGTAATTATATGTACATTGTATTATCGAGAGGTTTTTATAACCACTGCCGTTTGAACTAACTACTATAATTACTTCGCTTAAGTATTCAAATAATGGAGATACATTAATACTGCTTCCAACAAAGGATACACTAAGCAGTTCAATAAAGCTCGTGCATTTGGTAGTTTGGTGGTTTCTTTTGGGGGCAGCAGTTTTAAATATAGGAAGCGGACGTGTAAAAGATTCAGAAAACAAAGCAAAAGAGCATACACTGCCTTATTTATTTTACCATATAGGTAATACATTTTATTGTCATTCATTGTAGTATAATAAATTGAAGTTTCATAATGTAATGACTCATCTCATGTTTTTATGAAAACCTATTATACTCTTTGTAATTATCTATTAAAATTCATATACATACGTATATTCCTGATAACCAGTTGTGTACAAATTTCGAGCAAATTGCCAGCAATAAATGACAAAAGTTGTCTAGAAAATCATAGCCATCTGTTTCCGTCAGCTGACAACATGGTAAAGCAAATTGGCAGCAAGTCTTTCAACATGACCTGTGTCAAATTGAGGGCAAAATCGGAACAAGGTTTGCGCAAGCCAATTTGCTGCACATATTGTTGCCAATGTGTGCGCAAGTTGTGTACAACAAATCTTGTATCAAACTTATATAATATAACAGCCATTGGACAAAATTTGGCTTTGCAGGTTTGACTGACTGGGCCCCTATAACATTTTACACTGTTTAGCTCAGAACAAGATATGGACTTAATATCATTTTTACACTATTATATTAAAAACTGAACGATCTAGAACAAAATCATTTTTACCATCGGAAAAAGTGAAAAAGGGTCTAGCAGGTCAAGAGGGTCAAAAGTGCCCTTAGATCGATTTGGATTTATGATATACCATTGGATAGCTTATCGGCCAAAAAAATAACTTGTACCAAGTTTTAACCTTCTATCTTAACCAAGAGGGTAGTAACAGGAAAAATTCGGATGATCGGTTTTTCCTCTATTGTCCCTTTTTAATGTATACAAAAATTCTGTCAAAAATCTAATGCATAGTGCTCACTGGGGCACGTATTTGAGAATTTTTTGCCATTTTTTAGTTGAGAATCCTATAGTTGTGAAATATCAAAAACGCAAAAAAATGATGAAAATAGTTATTTTCTTATGTAAATATTAAAGCGACTACATTTATGTGATTATTGTAACGATATATATTATCATAAGTGTTTTCCTATGTTTTTTGGTAATTTTTTGGCATTGTGGGCCGTACTTTTAAAAATCAAATACCGATTTTTTTAACGTTCCTTCCGTGAAAAAGTAACTTACACTGTGAATATTTGTATTTCCTTTATTAAGTGAGTATATTATACGATTTTAAGTATTTCTAGATACATATGTGTAAATGTAATCCGAATTGTTCCTGTTACTATCCTCCTGGTTGAAATAGAGGGTTGAAATTTGGTATAAGTTATTTCTTTTTTATAAGCTATCGAATGGTGTATCACAGATCGAAATCGGTCTAAGGGCACTTTTACCCCTTTAACCTGTCTTGACGACGACTTAAAGGCGCCTTAACCCTAAAATAGCTGTAAAATGGGCGTTTTCAAGGAGTCATGTGTTATCTGGGCTTTGATACGGAAAACATGTAAAATGTCATTTAAAAAAAAAAGAAGAATTATAAAGTGGACATAATATACTCTTTGGCTCTGGGGTCCACGCATTATAAGATACATACGTCGATGCGCGGATATCTCTGTGAATAAACTATGCGTTTCGCGGAGGCACGCGAACATCGTCCGAAATCGCGAGCTCGGCGATTCGCATGTTTTGCATGGGCGAAACGTCGAAAAACCATGAAATTACATTGTGAATCGATTTGAAATCAGCGAGCACCGTACCGAAAAAAATTCCAGTGAAACTCACAGAACCCGCACGATGTACGTGTGCATCGGTCGTGGGTAGTGTCTGCAGCGGACCACCGGTGGCTGGGTATTCGTCGGGAACAAAAACAGGTACAACGGAGATCGAATGGTGACTCGATGAGGATACGTTGGTCGGGCATGCGAAGGAAAAGGTCGGACGCCCGTGTCACGAAACATGTCCTACCCGAAGGATTTCTCTTGCGTCGGAGGCCTCGAGAAGCACATCCGTGTGGTTAAGGAAACGGTTCTGTTCCCGCTGATGTACGGCGATGTGTACGCGCGATTCAACCTGAAACCACCGAGGGGCTTGCTCTTTTACGGGCCTCCTGGTAAACTAAAGCGTTCTACGGTTCGTAATGAGAGTACGATCCTGTGGGAAACGTAATTCCTGATTGACGATCCTCCTTTCTCCCCCCCTCTCTCTCTCTCTCTCTCTCTCTCTCTCTATCTCTGTCACACGCAGGCACAGGAAAGACCCTCGTTGCCAGTGCGTTGGCTGTCGAATGCAGCAATTCCGAACGTAAGGTGTCCTTCATATCCCGTAAAGGCTCGGATTGTCTTAGCAAATGGGTCGGCGAGAGCGAGAAGAAGCTTCAGAAAATTTTTTCCATGGTTAATATGTTTCATTGATTTTATCTACAGGATAGTATAATCTAAAGAAATAATGTAGATCGAACAATTTCGTGGCATTTACACGGTACACTCCGAAACTTCCGAACACTAAAATTGAAAGAGTAATGTTTTGAAAAGTGTTAAGGAGACCCGGTCGGTTTGACAGAGAATTATACTATACGTTGCCATGCTACAGAGCGAGAAAGGAAATACTCTCGGTACCATTAGTTAGAAACATTGGTTAATGGTTTTTTTTTTATTATCAATTGCTTAACCCTTCACCGGTCACATGAATTTTTCGCGGACAAACGGACCCGTGTGCCGTCTGTGAGAGTGGTATTTTTGAGAACGTGTGTAATAATGAAATTTTGACAACACTCTTTAGAGGTCTATATAAACGGAATTTAAAAATTTAGTCTTTTCGACTGATACATTGACAAACGTAAATTTTCAAAGAAAGGAAACATTATGAAAGACAAATTCAACAGGCCTGAGATCGTGCTCATTTTGGAATTACTAGAAAATTTATAAGCAATCTCACAGGGGGTCGTTTTTCAATTACGTAAGCATAATTTTGGCGATTTCTTCTCTCCTTCAACCCCCAGTATAAAAATTCGTAAGATTTTGTATTCCAACCCCCTTTCCCTCATTCTTACGTAATATTTTTTACGTATTGCATGTCTTCAGTCGTTAAAATTCTTTTAAAGGTTTATATAATTCATTTAACTCGGTTTCGGGAAATTTAAATTAAAATTACTTTTCTGGAACATTATTGATAGAATTTCTATTTATTCTTCTTAGAAACACCTCTGGATACTCGAGAGTAAACTTACATATTAATTACACTAACAAAATTAAAATTGTAATGACAATTAGAATTATATGGACTTAAATTTTGTTGCTTGTCCATGGACTTTTCCCAAGTGATTCTATAATAGAGAGTGAAGTTTTATCGAGGGCATTATTTTCTGTGTTTTCTTCAGCATCTATTTCGATCTCAGAAATCCACTTTGCAACGTCTGCCCCTGTATTCTGATTATGTAAGGGAGAGTGGGTAGGTTTGTGTCAGTTTTCAATTAATTTATTAGTGATTAAAATGCCAAAGAAACACACTTTAAGGGGTTATGCCTACTTGCGAGCTCGAAAAAAGAGATGTACTTTCGGAATTTATTTTGAAAAAACTTGAAAACTTTTTTAAACATGCTTCATTGTATTCGAAAGTGTACATTTTAAAATGCTTATAGTAATTTCTTCGATGCAAAATATGAATAAATAGGGGAAATATCAGCGATCTCCCGGCAGCGTTTTTATTTTAGGCGTTTTGCCGTAACCACTGTAACTTCGAGTTCGTTTGTCTGAAATAAAAAATCCGAGCAAATTTAGTTAGTATATTAAATTATCTAGTGGCCGATTGTTCATTATCCTGAAAAATTAATTTACGACAAAATGGCAGCTGTTCAAGATCGAAGTATCGATTTTCGCCCAAAAAATCGTTCATTTTAGATCTATAAAATAAAAACTACGCAATGAAATACAAAAAGCCATGATCAGGCACGAGATTTTTATGTATAGAATGAGTCTACCAAAGATGAATCAGTTAGGTACAGCGATTCTCGAGATATTTCACTGATTTTCAAAATGTGGTTTTGAGAAAATACGTTTAAATTTTCAAGTCAGGTTTACAACCGAATCAATGCAAATTTTTTATATATAGTTATTCTTAGTATTACGGCTTCATATAGCCTTGAGTATTTACTAATACAACCATAAATTGTATTAGGGCACAGTATCCATAACTCACGCACCTCTAGAAAGGGATTCCCTTCGTGCGCGACACTTTATATCTGTTTCGAAGCTTCCAAAGCCGTATACTTCAAACGGACGTAACTTCGCCAATTTTGGTCAGATCAATTTCTAACTTTCACATAATATTTCTAAACGATTTAAACTCTCGAGAAATTCCATGTCCGAGGCGACTGCTCCTTGTTGCAATAGTGTCGATAGATTGCGCGTACTGTCTTATGGTAGGGATGAAATGAGACCGAAGGACAGAAGTTGTGCTGGAGTAACTTCTCTTTTGCTCGTACATCGCAGAGGGAGAGGAGAAAGCGACTGGAGTGCGATGAGGAGAAGGAATGATCCACGCATGTAATGCCTCCACTACAGCCGTAGGAGAATCCCCCAGTAACAGCTCCATTAGAAAATTACTCCAGTTATTGTCCTCTCTCTCTAGTGCTGACTTCATCCCTACCATAAAATCGCGCAGTCTATTATACAGGGTGTAAAAAAAATATTGGAGGACCCGGAAATGGGAGGCTCGTGAGGTGATTTGAAACAAGTTTTTCCTTAGCAAAAATGTTATTCGAGGCTTTGTTAACGAGATATTAATGAAAAACCTCGACCAATCTACGCGCTGCGATTGGTAGCCAATGTTACCGCAGGAACTCGGCCGGCAGACTCGCGCTCTGATTGGTCGAGGTTTTTCGTTAATATCTCGTTAACAAAGCCTCGGACATCATTTTTGCTAAGGAAAAATTTGTTCCAAATCACCCCTTGAGTCTTTCATTTCCGGGTCCTCCAACATTTTGGTTACACCCTCTATGTGTCTATGATGGCAACACAACACAAGTGAGTGGATGGGGGCTGGTGTTACTGTTCATGTGGCCTCACGGGCGAATGTTTGGCCAGGCCTGGTGTGAGGAAACTCCCGATACAGTCAGGCAACAATGACTTCGCGTATACTCAAACCCAACTTGATGGTAAGAGGAAGAAAAATTGATCTGTAGGTACTGCCGTTAGATGTCGTATCATCAAGCCGTCCCAGTTATCGATTATGCATTTTCGCTAACGCCCGTTTGTTTACATTTGCGCTTCGATCGATTCGGAGTTGGCCCGGATGGAGTCTAAGGACACTCTTATTATTTATAATTTCCGTCACTGCACTCACTCATAGAGAAAAGGTCTGTCTTGAGAATGTATATAACACGAAACTTGAATTTTATTGTCTAAGTAGTACACTCCACCCCTACCACCCTATATAATACTTAAAAACGTGAAGTGCGTCTAATGCTGTCTGATGCTCTATAAATTGACGCGAGCTGACTTATTGAAATGAAGTGTATGTTTCCTGGAAATAAATCTTCCAGGCTCAACAATCGAAACCTTGCATCATCTTTTTCGATGAGGTCGACGGGCTTGCGCCCGTAAGATCCAGCCGGCAAGACTTCGTGCACGCCAGTATTGTCTCCACTCTCCTGGCCTTGATGGACGGCTTGGAGAACAATTCAGAGATCATAGTAATTGGAGCAACGAACAGAATCGATGCTATAGATCCAGCGTTAAGGAGACCCGGTCGGTTTGACAGAGAATTATACTTTCCGTTGCCATGCTACAAAGCGAGAAAGGAAATACTCTCGGTACCATTAGTTACAAACATTGGTCTTTTAAACTGTAACACCTGTACAGGGTGATCCGTAAACGGATCGAACAATTTAGCTGCGTATAGTACCCGTTCCAGTGGACGAAAAGTGTCCAGTCCAGTTTATTTCGGTTCTTACTAGAGTTCTTACTATCCGGACATCCGAGTACTCGAATTACTCGTTATAACTCGAAATTTGTTGAATCGAAATCCGGACATGAGTCTATGGATATCTGTACTTGGATCCGAGTATCCGAGTACCCGGTTTCGGACCTTTTATCATGGTAACTCGAATATACAGGGTGGAGCATATAACTGGTACCGCTTCAATTACTGCGTAAGTAATCATTTTAGTGAAAAATGTTTCAGAAAAAGTTGAATGGTTTTAAGGGGGACATAATTTGACGTAATTCTCTTTTTTGTAAATGGATGCGTAGGGAGCATATGAAGGTCAGGTTCGTTTTTCAAATGGAATTATATATTTTTTATTACGTTAATCAATCCAGCAGTAATTCTGCAGAAACAATATTAAAATGTTCATATAGACACAAAAACGATTATGTTAAGATATTGTAACTGCAATTATTTGAATTGGCGTAAGTGGAACTACTCCCAGATAGCAGATGATGCCTTGAAGACGTCCATTTTACGTCTAAGGCGTCTTTAAGCCGTCTTTAAGCCGTCTTCAAGGCGTCATTAGACGTCGTGTGCTATCTGGGCTGCGATAACTCCCAAAATATTAACTTAGGCGATAATTGCTACAGATGAAATGTGCTCGACTGCGATCACATAGTGAATTATTCATCGAGATAGTTTTGAATAAAGAATTCGAAAACATCTTTCCTGAACTTTTATAACTTTATCTAACACATGTAAAAATCGTCATGTAGAATAAAAGATATTTACAGAACGGTAATCTTTTGTTTATGTTATTATCAAAATTCCCCAACAGTGAAACATCTGTAGAATTAGTTTTCGATACATCAGTTGGTAGAATTTCTTTAAAAATTATCTAATGATCATAGTAATACATATCACTGAATATGTTATAATATTATCCATAACATTCGTTAGTAAAAAAATTTTAAGTTCCATTTAAAAAAGTGAAGATGTCCTTGAAGTTTCGAAAAATGCTAATGATAGAAAGAAATCTAATAATTCACTATGTGGTCCCGTTCGAACCATACAGATTTCATCTGTACCAATTTTCGCCCAAATTATTGCTTTGGGAGTTATCACAGTGACTGTCCTTATTGTTAGATACAGGGTGTCTGCGCGAACAGTATACAGTCCATTATTTCCTAAACTATTTCATATACAAGAAAGCTGTCTACATTAAATTGAATGTCACGAGGGGGCTAATTAACAGGCTATGGCGAATTTTTTTAAACATTATTACTTTAAGGGATATGAAAGTCAAGTTTGGTTTTTTAAATGGAATTATATATTTTTGTATATATTTATTTGGAATTATATATATTTTAATAAACAAAAATGTCTACAAAATGCAGCAGTTATTCTGATTATTGAAGGGACTCCGCCCCTTCCCTTGCACCCCCTCCTAGAGAAAAATTTAGCTCTAACCTGACCCGAATTCGTTTCTGTTGAAATTAAAATGAAGTGAAGTTGCGGGGGAAGGGGCGGACTCTCTCCCACGCCCACGCCTTTCATAAAAATTTCCCATATAATTAACAATTTCACCACCCCTCGCTCCACGCATTTACTCAAAGAAGCAGATATTCTAATAATGTAGTATTTGTAAAATTTAAATTATGAAGTTAAACATACACCATTATATTGCAAAATTAATTTGTTAATAACTTTTCAAGAAATAAAGAGCGACCGCAAAAACTTCCTCAAGGTCACTGAGGAGGGTGACCTTGACAACATATGCCGAAGTCAAGATCATCAGAGATTCCTCCCCTATTTTAAATATTTACCAAAAACCTGTCAATTTTCTTGATTATAATTTAATAAACGTAGTTTAGTATTAGACAGGTGATTGGTCTATTATCCGAAAATCTTTTATCCGAACACACATGCTCCCTATTACATAGTTCGAATATGGGAAACTCTACTGAACCTCCCATTTTCAACGTATGACCTTGGAAAGGTTGAACCAAAGGGTATCTCTTGCAAAATTAACTCACGGTTGTACATACATCTGTCGACTGGACATTCTCCGTTCACTTAACGAGTACTACGCGTACTTAAATTGCTCTACAACCTTTTCATAATGACGGCTATAAAACGTGTTATTCTATCCGTGACCATTAGGTGCACATCAAAAGTTGGAAGCAGAAACCGCCACAAAAATTTCTGGCATGTCTGGCTTCAAAGACGGTTGGATTTTGTGGCAGCGATCTGCAAGCTCTTTGCGCCGAGGCAGTTATGTGTTGCGTACGGAGAAACTATCCAGAGATATATACTTCGAAGGCGAAGTATCAGATCATCGAACGACATCTCAAAGTAATTGAAACACAAAATTACGATTAATTTACGATTTTACTTTAATCCCCTTCTTTGCTAACCGTTACAGTTTTCCTTAGCAAAGCGATTTTCTTAACGCGAGCTGTTTTTCTCTCTCAAAATGGTATAGGTTCAGTCAGGCCTAGATTAAGATTTTTTTGTGGCTATTAAATCTTCGAGGGCCTTCTTGGTTGAAAAGCGGGGGGAGGGTAAAAATATGATAACAATGAAACATGCAATAAAATACATAAAACTTCAAAAATTGTAATTTATACCAAGTAAAATTAAATATCTTTTAATCTTAACGATCGCTTAATTATAATGAACAATGCTACGTTATATTTTCACAACTTTGATCCCATTTATTTCTACATTTGTGCAATTTTTAATTATTTCAAAAGGGAAACAGTAAATAAAATTTCATTCAATTATTTTTTGACATAGACGGAAGGCTTGTAATTAGTGCAAAAATTGGTGCGTTTTTGATATCCTATTCACTATAGCCCCGGGCCCCATTCTACGCCACCCATTTATGTATGTCAAAAAAATGTAACGTTCTTTGATATTTTGGCATACAAAAAATAGCATTCTATTTAAAAAAACGAAGGTGACCTTCAAATCTTCGAAACGTCTCCACTTACAATAAAATATATGCATTACATAATGTATCCCTCCAAACCATACAACTTTTCTATAAAAAATGTTTTCATACAATGCATACTTTAGAAGTTATTCAGGGTGAAAAAGTTGCGTGGATCGCCTTGTATTCTGTATCTTGTGTGCAATACAATACATATATGTATTCTTCAGGTCGTTCCGCGTTAAATTGATTACCTTTTATCGTTGATTTCAGAAATTTTCATGAAATTGAGAGATGTTATAGTCGGTGTAAAAGTGGGCATTGTTTAAGTTATTATTTTTGTCGTTTCGAATTTATTTGAAAAGACAAGTTTTAGAAATGACCTTTTATCTCAGAAACTGTTGTAATTGTATAGACTTTGATATTTTTACGTGAAAATGTTCTTAGACAACAAAGTACAGTAGAGACATAAATGTTTTAAAATTTGTAATCCTTACAAAATATCATATTTTCTTCTGATAGAAAATCTGCTTGTAATCTTTCTATTTGATTCCGACTTTTATAAATTAGTCTATTAAATTCTATGTTTGCAGAGGATTCCCCCATTTATTATACAGTAGGACTCCCTATAATACGGATGATGTACATATGTATGAATTCCGTGTTATACGGGATCCTTAAAACTAAATAAATTTTTTTTAGTTCTAATAGGCATAATAAAATACAATAGGGTAAACCGAACCAGTGAATAACCGAATCGTGGAATTTACGGACGTTTGAGATTAATACTTGAATGTATTTATATATAACAACAAAACAGCTATTGAAATTGCAGTTACATTTATTTTTCTTGAAATTTTTATAAAAATAGGAACTTGTAGTTTTTTAAAAATTATTTATAAAGTACAAAACGTGTAAAAGCCCAGTAAATGACTACTACATTTCTGAAATATTTTTAATAAGAATTGTACATATTACATAATGTTTGCTTAATACCCTAAACTAAAAATATGAGATATTAAAAATGTAACTGCACTCCATTTATAAACATTTAGTAATTTTTAAATTTATAATTTACATTTCTTTGCTTAATGGTTATTTACTGGTATGCAGTCAATTACTGATCGGTTTACCCTATGCATTTTATTTCATTTCAGAACAATAAAAACGCAATGTTTTTTTTGTTAATTTTTAGTTCGTGTTATAGGAGTTACCACGTTAAACAGGGTCGTACTGTACTTTTTCTGACGAGTGTCATTGTGTGACAGGTCGAAAAGCAAGATTTCCTGAAGGCTCAGCAGAATATCGTGCCGGCATCCCACCGCGTTACGGTCGCGCCTGTGAAATCTTTGTCGTTTAAAATTCAGCCTCTGCTCCAAGACAATTTGTCACGCATTCTGTCGCAGCTCGAGATCCTTTGTCCAACAGGAATGTTAATCTGCGACGTCATGTGAGTATTAGGTCACAATCCAGTTGAACTGCTCCTAGATAAATCGCGGGAAATACTAAGCTGTCATCTCCCAGCTGTGGTGCAAGCGAATTTCTGAGAAATCGTAAAAAGTGCGGGTAAAAGTTACAATCAACGACAAATTAAAAATAGGAAGATTAATGAAAGAAATCAAAATTCGAAGTTACACGTCTTCGGGTCGATTAATGCTAAACTAAATGTCGTTGTATAATTGAAAACAAGACTTTATTGTGTCTTCTAATTCGTCTTATACTAGATATTTTAAAGTTCCATTATTTACATTCAAGGTAGATAAGATTCTTCGTAGATTTGTAGTATAAACAATTCATTCTATATTTAAAGTGAATAGGTACTTTTTTGAGCGATAGATACAAAACGAAAAATATCTGTGATTACCCGTTATAAATGAATCTCTTAATAAATATTATAGTTATTTTTTTTATTACAATTTTGTAAACTGACGTTGACTTTTAGATTGAATAAGTTTGAATAATAGTTTGTAAGTGATTACATGGCAAGCTGAAACGTGATTCGATAAATCATGAATCGTGTTTCGATAAAGAACTTAGATGAAGAAATTAAAAGATTTCGATGAAACAAGTGAAAAAGTTGAAATAATAAATTCCTTTCAAGACTTGGTAGCACTATAACGTAAGAATTTTAACAAAGCTGATATCAACATATTTACGCTTTGTTAATATTAGGTACACCAATACTTAATCTACTATATTGTTAATAATAAGGTAATATATTTTAAATTAAAAACGTGTTTGTGACCTTTCAGTGTACAAAACATAGTATAGGATGATGGAAAGTTATTATACAGGGTGGAGCAAAATTACTGGATTTAATTTTGCAATAACATTTGAACAAAGTGAAATAAATGAAAGATTGAAATTAAAAATGGAAGTTTGTTGTTTGCCTTTTTTTTTTATATCAAGTGTGGAAAATTATATCCGTTAAGTGTGCACCATGATTTTGGAAGCAAGAATAGATTCCTTTCATGCTGTTCTCCATTATTTTTTCAAGTGTTGCAGGTGTCCAGGCAATTTCTTCACGAATGTTGTCTTTCAGGGCGTGTAAAGTTTACGGCTTATTAACATAAACTTTTTCCTTCGGATAGCCCCACAGAAGGAAATCTGGCGCGGTCACATCGGGTGGTCTCGGTGATCATCTCAAATCGCAGTTTTGTGAGATTATGCGATTTGGGACGTGTTGCCACAAAAGTTCCATTGTAAAAGTAAATTTTGGTTCGTTCAGCAATAGTGTACCTTCCCATACTTAAATCTCCTAAGTTTTCACTGCAAAATAAAAAAAAATTATTAACAGCATAAACAAGTTATAATATCTTTAAATTCATCAGTTACTTTTTCCCCACCCTGTAATATACATATGTAAATAAAGCAATATGCAGATGTTAGTAGTGGTATATGTGTATAATATTATATGTATAGTAGTATACAATGTACATATGTATCTACTTTACTTTACAGTACAGATTACCTGACAAGTATTTTTCACTTCACCTCAAATACGTACATATAGAAGAATCATGGTAGACATTGATAAATTAGAACAATTTTATATATTTCTTCTAATAATATAAAGAAAATGATAATTCAGGAATTTCTCGATAGTGTGATATATGAAATAAGCAGACTGCGGATCTTTCCGCAAAATAATATTTTATAATGTAATTTATAAGAAGAAGAGTAAAAACAAAAATTTCTTTCTTCCCTTAAATGTCTTATGGGGTTAAAAGTAAAACAATAAACTCCTTCTATACATATCTCATGTAATTTTCGCCTCTTATTGCATTTTACAGAGTGTCCTACGGGCTATAAATGCATGAAACTCGCATTCTAATTATAAATAGGGATAAACCGACACCATCGAAGTATCAATACTTTTACTCATAACTTTTAACGAAAAAGAGTATTGATATCTATGTACTTAGTATCGCATCAAAACATGAATTTTCGAAGAATTTTTATTAATATAATGTATTTTAATCAGAGTTGAGCAGAATTCTATTCGAATAATACACAGTAAAAAGCGGCTGTATCTATGGGCGTCATCCCGAGCTTTAAACAGTCAACGATATTAAATAATTAGTTACCAAATGTCGATTTATTCAGGAAGAAGTGTTAGTTCTTTATAAAAATTGGAATTTCCATGTTTAAATGATAAAAAATGATGTATGTAGTGGTTTTTTTTTAATCTTTTATTTGATATTCCAAGCTTTTTATCTAGATAGTAAATTTGCCCATCTCTGATTTTAACGAAGATATTTATATTTTTATTAATGAACATTTATTAACGAACATTTATTAATAAAGTAATATAACTGAACGAAAACCACCTTCGCATTCATTAGCTTTTATATCGATTAATCGCTCCATTCGATATTCGCCGATATGAGTATTTTTTTGCGATAACGAGTATGTGTATATCGCAACCAAAAGTATCGATTATTTACTTGTATTTACTTGGATCGGTTCATCCCGGGTTATAAGTAATCGAGGACCACGAGGGGGTAAGAAAACTGCTTTAAGAGTTTTCTTTACAGTACTGGCAGAGCCGCATCCAGATCGACCAGCTGTCCGAGAATTTTATTATGTGGCAACGATGATTCTCACACTCGTCATCTGGGACCGGCGTTACTTCACACATTGGAGCATCTCCCCTGTCATGTGTTAGACGTTATGACTTTATTCGAGGAAACTGGTAAAGCCGCAGAAGAAGCTATCATTCAAGTAACTAAATACAATGAATTCTCTAAAGAAGGTCGATACGGCTTCGTAACGAAATACAATTACTACACAAACGTATCCGTTCATTTCATACGTACGGTATATTTAAAATATTAACACACTTCGCGCTGATTATGTATAAACGCGAGCATCCCGGCCGAGCTCTGATTGGTCGGAGTTTTTCGTTAATATTTTACTGACCAAGGAAAAACTTGTTCCAAATCACCTCACGAGTGACCCATTTCAGGGACCTATAACACTTTTGTTACGCCCTGTATAAAGGTTCCGACTGAAACAGTTTTGAAGGAACTTTATTCTGAATAACTGTTATAAGGGACATAAATTTAAGACTATATCAGTGTCAGTTTCAGTTAAGGCTCTTATATCAGCTTTAATATCAGTTCTGTAACCGTTACTTTTTAGATTCTATCTAAGTTCCAAAACGATTATAGAACCGATTCCTGCAACGATTGTACTGAATTTTATTACGCTTATACATAGATTACTGTATACAGGGTGGCCCACATCACTCTTAACAGCTCAATATCTCGAAAACTATGCCATCGATTTTAAAGTTCTTGGTCTTAAATTGCATGAATCTGAAGGGCCTTTCTAACTACATAAACATGAAGTGGCCCCACCTTCCCCTTTAAGGGGAGGCGGGGGTACCTTTATAATTTTAAATGGAACCCCCTATAAAACGTTACATATTTAGATTCTACAGGAAGAAACAAGTAAATTTGGTCTGAAACATTTTTTAGTCAGATATTTCCATGATGAGATATAACAGTTTGAAGTTTCGACTTGTAGGTACTTACTTGAAGCGCTTGGAAATTGCGTTATTGAATTATACGCTCTTCAGTTCTCTGCGTATTTGTGAAGAAATAAAATGTTCTTTAAATTAAATGTTCAAAATGTCCACCACGGGCTTGTAAACATTTATTTACTCGAAACATCAAAGTTGTTCCAACATTTGTTAACATTTTAGGACTCACTGAAGCGCAAGCGTCACGTATTCTTTGTTTCATATTCTCTTTTGTCGTCGGCGGTTCAAACATAACAATAGTTTTCGAGATACTGAGTTGTTAAGAGTTATGTGGGCCACCCTGTATATGTATACATATAAGCATATGTTTTGCGAAGTATGGAATTGTATAACTTTATTTTCGACTGTATTTTAGGAATACCATAAACTTATTTTGCTATTCAATCTAATCATTCTATTGAATTAAATTCTTTTATTGATTTTGCATTCAGAAAATGAAGACGGCTCGTCGAAGTTTACCATCGTTGCTCTACGTTCCTGACATCTTAGCTTGGTGGGATTTAGTGGACGAAGCAGCTCGTGTCGTGTTCACGTCCCTGATGCAGAACCTAGATCGATCTGTATACTTGTTGGTTTTGACTACGGCTAACTGTTCATTAGAAGAATTACCGGAGGACGTAAGAAACATTACCCCTTAAACAGCCATGTGAATTTTTTTTTTTGTGTGAAGAAAGAAACAATATAAAATAAAATTGTTTAGTGGTTGGCATAAATTGAACTTAAGCATTGATACGTTAACAGGTGGTAGTAAGTATATGACGGGTTTGAGGGCGTTCCGTTTCCGAAATACCAGAAAATTTCTCTAACGAACAAACAAAAGAGTATAAGTTAGAATTATATATTCGTTTGCAGAGAAGCACTTTTAATATTTAATATTTAATATTTAATACTCGATACTCGATACTCGATACTCGACACTCGATACTCGATACTCGATATTCACAATATTTAATATTCAATATTTAATTAAAACCCAGAAATTGTCCGCGAGCGTTAGCTGGGCGTTTCCACACTGTACATACTTGGGCCACCCAGGGTCACTGTAATAAATTAAGTACGAGCCGAGACGTACCACTCGAAATGCAGAAGTCTTGGAGGACTTCCCCATCGAAGATTTCTGAACATCGGGGTGTTGCGTCTGGATAATGTCTCCGGCGTTTTCTCACGTTGGCTAAAACGTGCGGTGCCTGGAGTTGGCTCAGCACGTGGTAGGGGTGGGACATTATCCGGAGACGTTCGGCATTGGATTTTCACATAGAAAACCCCGTGGATAGGGGGTGGAAACGGGCATCTTAAAAAGGTTCGCTACTGGAAAGCTCGGCGTCAGTTTTAGACAATCAGTTGTCGAGTCACCTCGTTATAATACCAGTCATTCGAACGTGTATTTTAAAAATTTAATACAAATCAGTAAAGATTTTAATATCAAGAAATCTCTCAACATTTATTTCCCCCTACACCATCGAAGTCCCTATCCCAGGATAAATTCTTTAAATGGATTGACCGAAACAGGGGACAAGCAAAAATTTAGTTATTAAAATTTGCAACATAGTCATGACATCAAAACGAAAAATGTTATAAGTTCGACGAAGATGAAGATTTTGGCTTTGAAATTTTGTTTACAATATATATATATATATATATAAGTAATACTACACAGATTTTACGATTCGATAATTTTTTCAACAAAATTTTGTTTAAACAATGGAAAAAATTTATTTAAAAAATTATTGTAGTTCTTACATAATTGAATTCAGTGCAGAAAACGACATAAAAGTACTTATTTTCAAAATTTTATCCTGAAAATTACTGTTAGTTGATCTCATCTGAATGCCCCCCCCCACTCTCCCACCTTTAAAATACTTGCGTTAGGTGGGACACTTTGTATGAATGCGTGACTTTATAGTTACGTGGCGTTATAGGGAGGTTAATTTTTAAAAGTTACGGCATAGATTAATTGTAGTTTATAGTTTTGATGAAACGAATATGTATATGTATACAACTCCACTTTTAGGTGGCCTCTCTATTCGACAAACATCAAGGGGAGATGTTCGAAGTTACACCCCCAGGAGAGCAAGAGCGTGAATCATTTTTCAAGCAGTTATTCATCAATTCGGCGTCCGATATTGAATCGAATCAATCTTCGCAAGGTATAACATCGATAAATCGTAGAGAATTTAATAACTAGTCTGCGGATGTTTGTGGGTTTATGTTACCAGTTTAGAGTTTGGGATTGCTTGTTCGACGAACAGTGAATTTAGATTTCTTATGGCGTCTTGCCACTGTGAAGCCCTGAAAAATTGTCATTTCTTGAGAATTTTTTTTCAGTGAACGAAATGTTCAACATGTGTGAAGTGTTGTTTATTTATTAATACACTTCTTGAGAGTATAAACGAATTTTTTTTTAAATTTTGAACAGTTTTGTTTTCACATACATATACAGCGCACGAAAGTGAGCGTCTTGAAAAAATTGTGTTGCTGGCATAGGTGATTCCGAGAGAACGAAGCATCAGAATCAAAAAATTCAAACGGATTTTTAATCAGTATAGCAGGATGGAACTTTGTTAATTTCATGAATTTTCAAATAAACTTTTCAAGAAATATATCTTAAAGGTAGTTAAAGTGAAATATTTTTTAAAAATCGATTGTTTTGACCCAACCAGGTGTATGTAACCGCTTAATAACTTGTGAATGTCACAAGTGATCTCAATTTTTAAGCAATACCGTATGGCATACTACATATACTAATGTGTAAAAGTCGTAAAACGTAACAAAAAAATGAAAAAGGTCTCATAAACTCTTCTTTATTATTCTTCGTGCAACGAAATATGAAAATATTTCATTTTGTAGTTTCTATAATACTTTTTTTTCCATATACATATAGTCATCACCATTTATATCACCAATTCCAACGCATTAGTGACAAAAACATCGGGTCATTTAAAAGTTTTCTCTTTGAAAAAGGAGAATAATAATAACAATTATTTTAGAAGGTCGTGATGTTAGTAATGTTTTGGCTAATTCTCTCTGTTAATATGTTATGAAAACAGTGGATTTTGCGCAAACTGAAACGCACCCAAGGAAAACCAAAGAGGGAGGGAGGAGGCGGAAAACGGTTCTGCAAGCCGGTTGCGCGGAAAATTCTGAAATACGTAAGTAACCAGTATTTATGGAAAACAAATATATAATTCAGGAATTATTACTAATTTTTTAACAAATACAGATGAAGTGTCAACGTCACGGAGAACCAAAGTTGGGGGAAAAGCTCGGAACAAACTCTACACCGTACGATCGACTCAATTGGCAACGACAAAATCAAGTAATGCAATTCGAAACTCTAAATTTGAAATTTTTAACAATGCCTTACCATATGTTTTAAATTTAGCCTGCAAATTTTATGCATTTATAGCAAGTGATTGGCGAAAATTTTGATGTTACTTTTAACTATTCAGGTACTTTAAAGAAACAATTAAATTTTTCTATAATTCTCATTTGGGTAATTATTTACAAAGAGGCACACCTCACCAATTTCGGTTTTTTGTTCAGTTCATCATTCTGAACAACTTTTCTGTAAACATGTTACTACCACTCGGCCTTAATTTCCGAGATATTTGCAAGAAACTTTTGATCTAAAAAATTTATATTATTAGTGTAATGTTTGTAAGATAACGCAAAGTCCTAGATGATCGTTGATAATAGGTGATGAAATAACTGATAAAGTAAAAACAGATGTAATAGTTTATTGGCGTTTTTTCTAAAATGATTTAAACTTACTTTTTTTTGTCTATAGTAAATCCTTGATGAGTGTTCGAAGGCTCCTCCGGACTAACAAGGAGAAATCCCCAGATATAACGCTAACTTTTTAAAAACGTTTAGTGCAGTGATAGAGCTTGGAATTCTGAAGCCAATGGTATTTGTTTGAGTCGCATATAACCAATAATTTATGAAATATATATTATTCAGCGCTGAGGAGCCTTCGAACACACATCAAGGATTTACTGTAATATGGTTGAAAGTAGTAGGCTTGGAAAGAAAGTATGAAAAGAATAAAAATTCCAATTGGTTCCTTGTAACTAAGATAGCATGTTATTAACAGAATATGTTTTTAACGATCGAATCAAACTTCGCGCGGTTGACACATCAAATCGGGGGGAGGAAGCAATACAATTTTTTTTCTCCTGGAAGAGGGGAGGCATAATTCAATTTTTTTCTTCTAGGTGAAGGGGTGGAGGGCAAAATCCAATTTTTACTGCCAATGTAATGGAAAAGCCACTTTTTTCTGTTCAGTTTTTTTTTAATTCAAAGTATAAATGTATTTTTCCTTATTTTATTCGTTGAAAGATAAAATACTATTTCTTACATTCCAATGTATGACATTTATCGTAAAAACACATAAAACAATAATATTTACAACACTACGCGCATCTAATGAAAGATGTATGGCCACTTGTTAGACATAAAATAGCCGTAAAATGGTCTAAAGTAATAATAATGTAATTCGTTTATCCGTCAGAGATCAACGTGAAAAGGAAGAGCAGCGCTTCCGGGGAGGGTCCGGCATCGAAACGCTCGAAGAACGCTTCGGGGGGCAGCTTGTCAGCGTCGAGCAACGAGAAACTAACCGATCCGCAATCGGAAGAATTGCTCCAGCAGATCATCGCGGCGACGGACACGTGGCCGTGCCACGATCTGGAGATCCTCTACGCCTCCCTCGAATTAACGTTGGAAAGAAACGAGGATGGTCTGTGTTCCGCGGTGAAGGACTGCATCGAACAATTTGAGAAATTTCGACGGTTAAAAGTCCGCGTGAAAACGGAACAGGACTGAACGTACGTTTTTTTTTGTTTTTCTTTAAATATGCAGAACCGCCGCAGTCTGTAATTCCCCATTGCCACGAGCAATGTACCCCCTTTCACTAGTTAAAGCTGTAATTTTCAGTCGTTCCACATGGTAAACTAGGGGACGCTAACGAGTACCTGTTAATTTCTGGACACGCTTAATCAAATGTGATAGAAGCACGCATAAGATTGTCTTTTATTTCTTTTTTCTTTTTGTATGTATATATCGCTCTATTTTTGTCCCCATTTTGCACAATTGCGAAATTGCGTTTGCGAACATTCATGGATGTGACATAAGGTTTCGTTTGTTTAATGTGTACGTCTCTCAATTATATTATTAACGTTCATTTTGCTATAAGTGCTTTATTGAAATGATAAAATTATAGTATGTAGACGCGCGAATAGCATTATAAAGTAATGACATTGGTTGTTAATAGATTGGTTAATGTTAACTATTGGATCCTTTGATAAACTTTTAAGCAAACACATGTCTATAATTTTATATACACTGGGTGTCTTTATTATAAATGTTGAAAGTTTGTTAGTATTATCTATCGGCAGATTTTGGAAAAATTATTGTAAAAATTGTAGTTGAAACAAGCTTTATTAGAAAGTTTAGATTACAGACATTGTTTATACTCACATTTTTATACGATTATTTTAACAAATTCGAATGCAATAGAAATTTTATTTTTCTGTTCAAAATTTTGTTATATTCAGGAATAAAGGATTTTATTAATGTTTTTATTATATTCTGTTATAGATCAAATTCGCAGACTATTTAGTTATGATTAGACAGCGGATCAAGATAAACTTATGGGACTTGGACAGAAATTTGTTTTGTCATTAGGGGATTACAAAAACATAGTTTTTATTTTGCATATTTTGTATACGTGTTTTGCATACCTCATGATAAAACTATTAAACTTGTAGGCAATAGTTAATACGCCCCAGGTGACAAAACCCCTCATTATTGTTCAACATATACAGGTAAGGATACACCTTTAGAAATTACATGTTCGATATTTCCTCGGGGGTGCAGTATCACAATACGTGTTCGAATATCAAAAAACTGTGTTTCGAAATTTTCTATTTCGACTACATGGAATTGAAAGTAAACAATTTCAATAAATTCAAAGTCGAATAAAAACATCCAAGTTCGTGCAGGAAAATAACACATTACAAATGTGTATTTACTTGGTGGATATTTGTTGTGTTTGTGAGTCATTCTCTTTCATTTTTACATTTTATTATTTTTTTGTCGTACCTTTAACATTTTATAGAGAATTTAAAAAAAAACGTAAATTATTGTGTAGTTTCTTTTTTTTTTGCTAAAACTAGTTCTTCTTATGTCCTTCGATTTAATATAAATTTTGTCTGCTACTGAGTGCTCTGTCTGGAGATTTTGTTTTAGATTCAATAGGAATAAGCCAAAGTATTTAAATGATACAAAGCTTGATTCCCTTTAAAATTCAACTGAAACTGATGAAGACAGTAGCGATGATTAATAATTTTTCATTTATTGTGAATACAAATAAGTAAAAAAATCTTATATAGAATACTATTTTTTTATGAATTATTAAATGTGAAAAATTGAATTTCTAATGTGTAAATATGATTAACATATCAATATCTCGTAAATAAAACGTGTTTAACGAATTGATTTTTTCAACATTAGAACTACCGACCGAAAATTTACAAATTTAGTAATTGACTAATTTCTTTACTTTCATTTCGTAACAAAAGATGCAAAAGATCTGAGAAAATGTATTGTCAAAACATTTTAATCGTCGTTGTAAGAGTGTATGGACAAGTCATTTTGATTTGCTCGATAGTTCTAGTGTTAAAGAATATACAAGAATTTTGTTTACCAAGAAAACAACAGTAAAGCCTTTTGCCAACTATTTTTTATATGTGCCAGTACAAAGATTTTTTAAAATGTGGAGACGATCTTATCAAAGAAATCATTATTATTATTTGTATACAACTATTACTTATTTGTAATGAAAATTCTGTTGATGCCATGAAAGACGCCGATTCGCTAATTCGGGGTTGAATCTACGACGTGTTGTAATCGAAAACGCAAACTTTCATCTGACGAATATGCGCGCATATCAGGATGCAACTTGACACCGTTCTGAGGTATCAAAGCTTCCTGAATATGACCGAGACAAATTTAATTATTTGATTTTCTGTAATGGCAATAGAACCACAGCCACGTGTACACTTGAACGTGGCGAACGGTTATGCAACAAAGAAAGTGTTCAAGTTTATGCGGTTTAGAATAGAATTACTTTCTCCGCTGGAATAATGCAGCTTACAATAGAAAAAGTAATCTGTGTATCGAGAATAATATTCTTCCTATAATTATAAGATTGTAGATCTTTGTTTTTAATTAACTACCTAGTTGATTAAAATTAGGTCGATGCATACGCAATGGCCGATATTGCTGATATGCAAGGGAGAGTGGGTAGGTTTGGGTCGTGGTCGTGGGACGTTTGAGTCAGATAGTAGTATACATATATTTCCATCGTTGTTACGCATACCTTATTCGCATGTCAATTGTTCGTTGTTACAGTAGTAGAAGTAGTCATTACATACACGAGAAGTTTGTTACAGGTTAAATTTCTTGTGCAAGTATTAGTGCATTTTCATGGTAAGTTTAACAGAAATTGCTAACAACAGAATTGATGACAACATTTGGCAAAAAGATGGCAGGTATATGGCATAATTGCGTAATGATTATGTTCAAAGACGAACTGCCGAGGCTCGGCTTCGGACAAAAAACAAATTTATAAGGGTCTGAAACATTTCCCTCAGTGCGATTCTTGTGCCGACACGGATTATAATTAATCGAATACTGTATTTCCGGCCCACCTAATAGGAATAGTGTAAATGCATCCAATGAATGAACACATAAGAGATTTTGAAACTATTAAAGTCGAATTTTAAATGATAATAATATTAATCAATATTTAGCACATGAAAATTAGATTTTTTAAAATCTATGCCTTTTTACAACGTATAGACTTCAATTTGAAAACTTGGAAAAATGTAATTAATTAAAGTAAAAAGAAAACATACAGATTTCGATACACAGTGAATGAACAATATTAAACAGTAAATGAACATTTCTAACCAATGGCACGAAAATTGTTGAAATATGAAACAAACAATTGAAAAAGTTCAATATTTAATCATTTGCTTATTTTAATAATTTAATTTCCTTGTTTTTATGTACATATAATGTTCATTCACCGGTACATGCACCTTATGATACATTTTTTCAGAGGATGGAATATACAAATTTTGTTTAATTTGAATTTTCGTGCAGAAGTGTAAAACTCTATGCATCAATGAATAAACTAATACTATTGAACTCTATACCTGGAAAGATAACTGTGAACTGTGAGTATTGGAGGTGACACCGCGCCGGCCTGTTAAACAAAGAACACTGTGTGAAAGATATCCCTATTTCACTCCTATTGCACACATCTTTTCTGAACGTACAGTTGCATTTATGTATATCTGCCTATAGCCAAATTTGCTACAGAATACTACATAGAGGAAAGGAGAGGTACTGAGAGGTACCTTCTAAACAACTATCTCCCGTTTTCCGTATTTTGTTATCGTTCCAGGTACATCTATATATAGAGTTCAATGATTACTACCTATTACGTATTCTGTATATGATTATAATGTCAATCGTAGTTCCTTCTTACAAATGTAATTTCTCCATGGAAATATTTCTAGGTAAATTGTAACAAGCGTGCGAAACGCGCGAACGGGAGTGACATGCTGTTAACTATATACATATGTATACATATACCTGTTCCAGTCCAATAAATATGTATGAAAAATTGATTGTAGGTTTACATGAAGGGCGTACTGTGTCACTGCACGTATGTATAGGATACACTATTGCAATAATTCTTATCGGTACTAGCTAACCGACACATGGGATCAGTCTGGCGAGAATTTCTGGAACACTGTGTAGATTTACCAGCAAACTGGGCCTCCACTAGGGAAAAAAGTTGCGATGGGGAAGGGCCTCCTACCACTCGGTATCGGAAATTACTGAAACTTATGCTAAATTAACATTCGATTTAACCTTTATTTCAGTACCTGAAGTAAATTTACCAAGGAGGCACTTCTTTTATACCACTTTCTTCCCTAGCGGAAGCCGAGTTTGCTCGCGAGGGTAGAATTGTTCTAGCTTATAATTGGCAAGAATGTACGGAAAGTGATAAAAAATATTAAGAATTTTTATTTTGATTACAAGTCATTTATCACCAAGTTTCCATTATTGCAATAATAGCATGATAAAATATACTTATTTGTTATTTATTGTTAACGCTAAAATATCGATACGGCTAAAATATCAGAAACGAAGTATCGATATCGTCAGTATCGATTGTCGATACATCTAACTAATTATCTGAAATCTATACTTTAAAAAACAGCTTAAATAAATGCCTATAAAATGGTGTCGAATGTCAATTGTCGATTATCGATGGCATCAGTGCGGCGTCAATTGTTATTTGCCATTATCACTAAGTGATGTAGAATTGTCTCATCTTGACAAAATGTAGTACACTCAAATAAATGAGAACAGTTTTGTACAATTGTTGGAAAATTACAAATTCCGATATTCATAGGTCAAGTATTGAATATAGATATTTGTTTTTTTTTCGCCCATCACTACTTTAGGTGTACCCCGGACATGGAACGGACACGGCCCGGTGGTGTCTAAATAGGCCTTTACTCGAAGCCTTCGAATAAAAGACACACAGATAAATGATGAAAATTTTATTCGACGCTATGTATGAAACGCTTTCGAATAAAAAAAGTATCTTTGTTTGTCGAATAAGTCTCATCGGATAAATTTATTTATTCGGCGCTGATCAAATGAAGATACTTTTTTTTATTCGAACCTTTGAATAACGCATACAATGTCCTTTATCTTTTATTCGTTATATTCGACATTTT